GCCCCACACTACTCATACCGCATCCTCCTAACACTACCACTGCTCCCCCACACCACTTACAAATCCTCACACACACAACCCCCCACACCACTCACACATCCTCACAACTGAACCACAAAGCCCCCACACTACTCATACAGCATCCTCATAACACTACCACAACCCCCCCTACACCACTCACACATCCTCACACTACCACAACCTCCCACACCACTTACACATCCTCACAACTGTACCACAAAGCCCCCACACTACTCTTACAGCATCCTCACAACACTACCACAACCCCCCACACCACATACACATCCTCACAACACTACCACAACCCCCCACACCACTCACACATCCTCACAACACTACCATAATAAAATTAATTATTTCTAGTGTGGTCGACTTCCTACACAAAGACAGGCTATAAATAGCCATCTTATCTCAACCTCCTTCCTTCCCCCTACATCCCTCTGTTCTCAGAGAGGTCTTGGTAAATAACTTTTGTTTGTTTATTTTCATTGTTTGTCTAATTTATCATGTTGTATCAAAGTAATATTACTAAAAGTTTTAGGCAGCTACCAAATGGGGAGATTCTACTGCCTGGGAAGATATTGGAAGCACAATGTACAGTATTGTCTAATGGTAGACCCTACTTCCATATGGCATCACGAAAATTGTGACCAAGTCTTAGGTTGCTGATTTATCTTTCTGTCTCATTTACACACAATTGCAGAGTTTCAATTGTTTCTCTTCCTTTGACAACACAACATACATACAATATAATGTTTCTCACCTTTGATCTTTTTTCCATTTATTTATTGTTGGTTATTTAAAATAATGCCAATTCACTTCAAGTATTGGCATCAAATTATACCGGCTGGTGTACACTAGTGACTCACTTAAGCGGCAGTTATTTAATTGGAACTAATGTTGGTGTGAGTAAAATATTTCCATTTACTTAAAATAGATTTGCCGATTTATTTGTTTATTTATTTATTTATAATATACTGTAATACATTAAACACACTGCAAGTATTTTCTTTAATTTATATACTTGTTTCGCGAAAAAGGGAGGCTAGCATTATAACTGGTAGGTGATCATTAAGGACCAAACTCCGAATCCATGACTCCATGAAGTGACTTCTGTTCATCATTTATATCCTAAATTTACCACTGTCGGTAGTTTCAAGAATTAACGCAGTCATTTACTGAATATTCTTTGTAAAAAAATTAATTTTAAATTAATTATTTATAGGAGATAAGTATTATGATCAGTAAATATACAGATATGCATTACTGACCACCTCCGAACACAAGGACGGCTAAAAATAGCTACAGGCGGTCACAGTCAAGGTCACTTTCCCTGGTAGGACTTTGTGAGTGGTTTACCATGTTTCCATCACCACTCTTGACACGCAATATTTAAGAGGTAAGAATTTTATACTTGGTGATTAAGACGACCCCCTAACTTTGGGCAGATTTTTTTAATGTTCAAATTCCGTCTTATAAGCCGAGATATACGGTATTATTTTTAATTATTATTACTACTACTATTACATTTTCGCCCCCAGGCCCTGATGTGGATCAGTGATCTATGCCCGGGTGGGCTAATCCCTGTTAAAAAAAAAAAAAATGCCCCGCAAAAAAAAAAACTTTCGGTTTTCAGAGCTTTTCGGTTTTCGGAATTTCAGATAAAGGGTTGTCAACTACTGAAAATTTCAAGTTTGACCTTGTTTGTATCGGCGGGCGTTCGTAAGTTGGGGACTCCCTGTACATTTAAATATAGTTGAAGCTTTCAACATACTGTATACATACTGAATCTGGAATGCTTCAGCTACTGGTAGGTTTACATCACTTATAGCTACTCATACATGTTACATCATAATTTTAAATATGCCCGGTACGATACAGGGAGAGATTACAGGAATATATAGAAAATGGAAGGTACCTTTCACTACAGAAAACAAAACTCTCTCTAGGGGTAACTAGCTTATTTCACTCATGTTTTATAGTCGGTGGAGCATAATGTGAGTGTGTGGGTGTTAATATACTTGTATATTATCAGTGCAACTGTGTCCATGACAGCTTGACTCATATCTTAGAAGAAAAGCAATGAAGTGCACATATTTATTGCATAAGGAGATTGAGTTGGTTGTACATCTGGCAATGAGATGATTCAGTACTGTACTCATGACCCAGAAAGCATCCTAGGAGGTGTAATACAGGGTTGGTACAGCATTGATGTTTATTGAATCGGGAAAATATACTCTCCAACATGGCAAAAAGAAATGTAATAAAGATTAACTTTTTTGGTCTTTAAATGTACCACACAAGGTGCAGTTAGATTAAGCCTGCAGCAGTGAATAAGTTAAGGAAGAACTAGATGATTTCAACTAGCACCCACCATTTGTGTATTGGTGTACAAGAATTACATTTAAGTCATTGTGTTTAAACAAGAGGTGACATAGTGGGACCAGTGACTCCCTGTGACAAGAGGTCCCTGATTGTAGAATATTAAATGTGGGACTGTTACACAGTTTGCAAGAAGAAAGTGCAGGACAGCCTCCATCTCAGAGACTTACCAAATAGATCTGTATCACAGCCTAAAGTTATGAGAGACATGATAATGTCTGTAAACCATAAGTCCATTTTAATGATACTGTACTCTACTTCTATAGAAAGGGAAGAAGCTGATCAGATGGTTAGACTACCTTGCCTTTCTTTATCCTTATTAAGGGGCGATGGTACTGTACTGTATTCGCATACTTGCCTCTCATTACTGTGTCCTAGTTTTAATCCCTAGGTTACATGTGAGAAGGATGTTATCCAGTGACCTACCAAATATAATTGATTTTTTCCAGGTGCTCCAGTTTCCTCCTATAACGATGTTGAACAGTGAAGGATAAATTATCAATTATAATGGGGCATCAAACAGACCTGGTTTCCCACCAAACAGCAAATTAGATTTAAAACAATTCTAATCTTTCATTGCACATGAGGGATGGTTTAGGCTCAGCATTAGGGACAGCAGGACCACAGATAACCTTAGTGAAGGAGTCAGTAGTAAGTTTGTTTGCTAAACCAACACAAGATGGAATCCACAGGAAATGTAGAAATGGGAATCATATCTGATTCAAACAATCACTGTTTGATCTCCTCTAGGAGGAGATCAACTTGATCTAAGAGTCCAACCCAGTTTCTTACTGGTGGTCAACATCTGGTGAGTAGAGAGTGCATTTCCACCTACCTGAACTTGAGAGCTCGTTACTTTTAAAGGAGAGGTGGGTCCTCCTTTGAGGTGTGAATGAAGGACACTACTGGACAAGAAATCCCCAAGCACCAGGATCAACATCTGCAATAGACACATTGATACCAAAGTTCTATTATGTAGAACAAGATTTATTGACAAGGGCAAGGCCACCCTCATGAAATAGAAGCCAAGATGCATTAGGGTCAAGGAAGGTTGGACGAATAAGTGAGTTTGCATGTTAACTATTCTGGTGTACACACCATCCACGCATCTCATCTTGTCTAGTGGTGGTCTTCACTGCAATTCACATTGTGTCATTTCTATGTGACTGATACTACATTTGTTAGTGAGCATGCAATTCATGCATCTCATCCCAGGCACTGAGCAGCCTGACCAACTCCCTGACATCTCCATTGTAACTATACTGGCCATGTGAATTAAGTTCCCTTGTTGTGAAGAGTTTCTATGGTTTGTCATGTGCATCTATGATAGGGCCGTGTTTGTTATGTTTGAAGATTGTTACTTAAAATACCTTTGTAAAACAACCTTTTGTACAAATCAGAATCTGTTGTAAGTAGTTAACCTATTGTAATACTGCACTGTATTTAGTATTTTATTACCTGTGTTCTGAAGTGTAATACTATACTTGCACAGTACTGAAAGTTAGCATGCATTGTAATCAAAGATGTCAGGAATAGTAAAGGATGCCAGTGTAGGGAAAAGTATTATTACTTGGTTAAGTACATCTGTATTAATGAGTGGAGACCATGGTGTCAAGAGATTTTTTTGAAAGACAATTTGTATTGTACTGCTGATAGGTGAAGCATCAGGGCTAAATCTGATGGATATCTGGAAGCTTGCTATAGAAGGGACGAAGGGACATTAACAAATGTAGTACTGTATCAGTCACTTAGAAATGACACAATGTTAAGTGGAGTGAAAACCACCACCATGTGGATTAAGACCAGGGCAAGACAAGATGTGAGAATAGTCAACTTCCAATAGAGGTTCATCAGGAGTCTTTTGAACTTCCTAATTTTTATCAAAATCCCTCACATTTATGGAGGAATACATTAGACCGCAGAGGGATAAAGACGCCACACTAATCCGTGGATACTCGAAATTCAATGCCGTGGTTGGTGAAATGGTAAACAGAGTAAAAACTGTGGATACCCGGATTCCGCTGATGGGAAATCCACAGTAAGCGAGTGTATACTATACTGTATTGTATTGGTGAAGTTCTACAATTGGATCGAGATGCATGAGCCTAAATGTGGAGGGGAGGAGTCCCAGGGCCAGTCCAAGAGTGACAGGGGGAGAGTGGGTGTAAAAAATTACATTAATACTGTAGTTAAGAACCTGACAAGAAAGTCTGTAAGAGACTGTGCAGCATGGAGAGCTGCCATCAGGTAATTGGGTGGAACTTGGCTGTAAACTGTACATTAAATGCTCTTGATACTGGCCACCCTGCGTTATAGTGGGGAAAGGCTTGAGAGAAAACTCTTGTGACTGTCATGTAACACAGGCAAGTTGTGCAGAGATGTGAGGAATTTTTAGGCCTAAATAATATACAGAATTGTAAAATTATTTAAAAGTGTGAATTGTTAATACAGTAAGACTTTTTAATTGAAAGATATGTAATACTGTTCAAGCTTATTTAATACTGGTAATTGAACTGTTTTTGTACATTATATTTAGATAATGATGACTGTAGCTACTATTCATACTAATACAATGTCTTTCTCTCACTCTCTCTCAGCAAAGGCTTCCCTGAGTTTCCTATAAATGTACCTGATAACAGAAATAAAGAAAATAATGCTATCCTTCCAAAAATAAATACTAAACAAGATGTGAAGGTCCCTGACAATGTGAAGAAGAAAACGAGACAAGAAGATGAAGATGGAAATTTAATAGATAACTGTGATATTGTTGTAGAAAGGAACGCTGGAGATGGTAATGGTAATAAAAGTGAAAATCAAGATAGCACTGATGGTGAAGAATCTGATAATGGAAATGAGTTTGAGAATAATTGTCAGCAGAAAGATCAGGAGGAAGGACGTGGAAGCAGCAGTGACTCTAGTAAACGTACCAGTCTTGTGAGTGGTTCAGATTTGCCACAAGATTCCCCAAAAGACACCCACCTCACTGATGAATTACCAAAAAGTTCAAAAGGCTCTACCAGTGGTAAGTTTACACATTATGTGCATTTTTGGGTTATGTATTTAAGAATAATTTAAGTATGATAATTATAAAGTAAATACCCAAAGGTGGGCACGCGCAATTTTTTTTTTGCACCGCAACCCTGCTGAAATAGTAGCGCCGCAACCACAACCATTTAAAAAAAGTTTTGCCTCAAGCGCAACCGCAACACGCAACTTTAAAATAAAATAAATAAACAAATTCTAAAATAAAAAAAATTGCCTGTTTACAAGTAAAACAAAATATAATTGATACAAAAAAGTTAATATTATCAATATTTTATTACAAAATTAAAAAAAATGCCTCACTGCCACTGGCCTCAGTCTCAGTGGACTGGCTGTCAACAGTCTCAGTCACTTCAACTTCGTGTCCATGTCCTGGTCAGTAGCGGCAGGATCACTGCTGCCGGCCACAGACTCCTTCCTCCTCGTCACAAAATGATCCATAATACTAGTAATAACAGGAAACAAAACAACAAGAAACTGACGCCTTAACTGCAGTGCTACTGACTGCCTGACTGGTTATGATATGAATCATTCCTCCCTCCCCTTCCCTTGCTGTAGTTGCCAGATTTCATCTTTCACATTAACTCTAGTTTCTAGAGTTTATGTGAAAGATGAAATCTGGCAACTACAGTGAGGGAAGGGGAGTGAGGAAGCGATGAAGGGGGGGGGGCAGTCTCATCTGGTTTACAGTTCAGAAATATGCTGCCCAACCTGTATCATGTGTATGCTGAATCATTCCGTCAGAAACAGAAATTTTCGTAATGTGCGGCTCCAGGGATGTCCATTTGTTTATACGGTCATACAGTCGACCCTCGTTAATTCGACTAATAGGGGGGGAAGGGTGTCCGTTTTAGCCGATTGTCCAAATTAACCGATTTAGGGGTTAATATTGCATTATATTTCAAAGTCATTGTTTTCGTCACGATTTTATCCCACTTTCCACTGTAATATGTACGTAATTTCAGCAAAAATATCACAGTTCCGTGAATGCATTATATCAAGCACAGTATGAATAGAATATCAATGTAATATAACAGTATTTTAACCGAAAACTAGTAAAAAAACGAGTAACTTCTCTTGAACATCGGAAGGTTAGGTAAAGTCTTTTGTTTTCGTCATGTATTTTATCCTATTTTACATTAAAATACATCACGTTTCAGCAAACTACTATTTATTTCCCAGAATATATTCATTCAGGCGCAGTTTAGGTAAAATATACGTGTGATGTAACAGTTTTTAGCTGAAAACAATTCGAAAAACACGTGTACCGCCTAGCTGATACTCAACAGCTGGTGGTGTGTCATGCGTCGTTGTAAACAATAGGAGGTTGAAGTAGGTTACCGGGTATTATATTAAGTGTGAAATATCGAAAAGGTTTTTATTACCGGTATTTTGTGTAGATCAATGAGAACTGTGATACCGTATATGATAAGATAAGTTAGCCTGTGCTAAGAACTTCAACATAGACTACTGAAAACACGTTGTTAGGTAATTTAGCCTATTGTAAGTTGGTGTGCTTCATTTGCTGAAGGAACTGCACAACTTTTCATTACTAATTGGTACATATTTTATGTTTCCATTGTTTACTGGCAGTAAATGGTAAATATTTTTCATGTCTGAAGCTAAAAGTTGCATCCCCGCCCCACACCAGTGGTGGAGATGTTACATTTAACCAAAAAGACGCTGGTGTTTTATCCCAGCAGTGGGTGGACCAGCATTTTAGCTTAAGGTCCGCATAGGTAATATTCCTACAAATCTAAAAAAAAAAAAAAAATTTGTTCAGATTTTGTCCGAATTATCTGAAATCCGGATTAAACGGGTCCGAATTAACGAGGGTTGACTGTATTCCAATTTTCAATTTTTGCCGAAAAATTTTGCGCTTGCGCTTGAAAATGTTTGTAAAAGTTGTGCCGCAACCAGTTCCGCAACTCTCTGGAAAAATATGCGGCGCAACTGCCCACCTTTGTAAATACCACACTAACAGATAATGATTATCTGTAAGTGTGCTAGGCCTGTGGGCATCCCCTCCCATCTCCCTCCCTAAACAAGAACCAGCAAACTGTCATATGCGGTCTCTTAATAGCTTGCTGGGTATACCTGTTCCCACTAGCACCTGAAGGATTGATAGAAACTGAGGAAAAAGCAAAGTAGGTAGTTGGTATATGCACAGTAACACTGTATTCATTCTTCATTATTGATTACTTTTACTGTACTGTATTTCATTTTAGATTTTCTATGTACTGTATTATTTTTTGCATTTTCGACTTATGACCAATTCGACATACGACCTGGATTTGGGTCCCTAACCCCGTCGAAAGTCGGGAACTGCCTGTATTATTATTATTATTATTATTACTGTATTATTATAATATTTTCACCTCCCAGGCCTCGGTGTGGGTCAGTGACCTGTGCCCGGGTGGGCTAATCCCCGTAAAAAAAAAATCACTGTTGATCAGAAAGTTGGTCATAATAAAGACTACACAGAAAGTCTATTGATATAATTTGTGCGCTTAGACACTTCAAGCCGTCTGATACATTTGTTTGTAGTTGTGTCGCAGAGATGGTGTCAGTGAAGAACTGAGCTACACCTCTTCCTCATGTTGGTCCACCTTGTACAGTAAAACAATTTAGGACTCACAATTATTCTGATATAATTACTGCAAACTACCTGGCTTAATTATTAAGATAACCAACCAGTTGGTTCAATATTTACTCAATGTGTCAAGGATTTATTTAATTATCTGATGAAGTAACTGGAGGTGTATGGTGAATGAAGTGTTTAAAGATCTTCTGTGCATGGTGTATATTTAGCTTTTTGTCTTCCTACGTTTCTTCTCATTAGATTCACAATGGCTGGTTGAAGAATACCTTCTTCCACCTCAGCAAAAACTTAAATTGGCACTTTACCGAGGAAGGAAACTGTTAGCTGCAAAGGAGGCTGATGGTGCTGTGAGAGAATTCATTCGTGCTCAGGCCCTCGCCAGAATTGTTCACGGTGACCAACACTGGAGATATTGTCGGTGCAAAGTATTTTTAGCACAAACATATTTGTACCTGAAGGTGAGAATGAGCAATTTCAGTTAAATTAATGTTTTGTATGTAACTGCACATTTTTATAATTTAATATCAATCTCAGTTGACTTATGAACATGCTGCAGACTTTATTTATAAAATCACAAATAAATGTTTGCACAGGGCAATTTTGTTCGATTTGAGAAACAGGCTTTACTGCATCCTCTGTTTAAGAAACCTGATCTTGATACTGAAAATATGTCATATTATTGTTGGGTCTCCAATCTCTCATTCTTATCAAAGATCATAGAGTGTGGATCAGTTACAAAGATATTGTACAAAAAGTAGTTCTATATTACATAAACAACTCCTTCCCTTCTCACAATTATCCTCTGAGAAACACCAATACTGTACACCAACATGGAGACAGGCAGGCTCTGGGGCTTGCTGGCTGATCAACTGTTTGCTTATGTAAATAAAGCACATAATACCTCATCTGAGATTAAGTGTAGGATTTTACTTTTTCGTGAAAATTGATTATTTTACGATATTGTTTTATTAACCTGGCACCAAATGATCCACAATAATATGGGAATTATGGTGAAATTGCATACTGTCGCAATAAAGAGGTCACGGGGTGGCATAATGCTCCAAGAGCAGAGGGGAAGCGGAAGAGGAATTTTCCACTCCAGCCACTCACCCTACCTCCTACCTCTTCCACTCAGAATTTCACTCAGAATTCACTTCTCACTCTTCATTTTCTTATTTTATTGGTTTATATCATACTGTACTGTATAGCATTTTCTTTATTTCTAAGTCAGATTAGAGCACTGATATATTTCCACAACTTTTATGGCTTATGTAAATAAACAATGGGGCAGCTGGTGCTCGGCCATAAATTATGAATACATTGAACCCTCGAAGATTCAGACCCAATAAATCTGGATTTCGGGAGATTCGGAAAAATTTTGGGGGGTTTCTGGGCATTCCCAAAACAGGATGAAGGTAGTTTTAGGCTTAAAGTTTTCATGTTATAAAATGTCACTGACTTAACTTAGCAGAATATAACTTGCATTGCTGGAATCTTTGTAAGATAGTGAATAATTTGAGTATAAACATCACATAATTTGCACAAGAGATAAAAATTTTAGTCCTTTAGTGTAGTACATTTGAGTACAAAGTGAGTACAGTAATATGTTGCTCAAAAGTATAGCTTTTTCACAGGAAAAAGTCTGTAAAACTAACCCCAGTGGTCAGGATGATATGTACTGTACTGTATTTTTGATGTTTTTTATATCTTTATTTATCATTTTTATATATTTAGTATATTCGCCGGAAGATTCGGACAATCGGCTTTTTCAGACAGGTGGTCCCCCCTTTTAGTCCGGATCTTCGAGGGTTCACTGTAATGTATTTGACTACAAAATTTAAAAAAGAGATACAAATAGAGATACCCATGAATTTAAGGATGTGAAATTGTATTTTATGAATTACCGTGACTCCACTGTACAGTACTGTATTAGAAATTGACAATGATACACTTTGCCAACTAGTACTTTACTTAAAAATAATTAAAACAATATTAATAGTGATACTGTAATTTTGCTGTCAAATATTACAGATGACAGCTGTGTAGACCTACTGCAGGCCCTGGCAAATGGTACTTATCAGTATGTGTTACCTGCTCACAGTTGTTTCCTTACCTTATTTACCTAATGGCCACACACTAGAGGTGGCCATGCCAAGGGAAGGAGGCCAGTGGCTTTTGTAGGATCCCTCCATTGTTCTTGATAATTTTGTTAAGGGCTATTTTGAAACCTAGTACAGTATTGTTCTTGATTCCACAGCTTGGGCTGGTAGCCTGTTCCCTAGGTTTACCAACCTCTCTGTGAAAATGTACAGTATTTTCTTACATTCGCTCTGCATGATAACTTAGCGAGCTTGTAGTTATGTCCTCTTGTGTTGAGGGTGCATGACATTACGTACAAAGAAATTTCCCGGGTTCACGTTTTCCATCCCTTTCAAGATTTTGAATGTTTCAATGGGATCTGCCCTATTGTGCCTTATCTGAAGGGTTGTTAGTTCTAAGACCCTCAGTCGACTTGGATAATCAAGATGACATTGTTCTGGAATTATCTTAGGCATTCTGTGCTGTACCTTTTCTAGGAATGTTAGATCTTTATCTGGGGGTAGGGCTTCCATGCTTGCATGCAGTAATCCAGACTGGGACATACTTGAGATTTGTAAAGTTGAAGGAGCATTTTCCTATCTTTGTATTCAAGGTTATGCTTAATACTGTAATTCCCAAATCTTGATTTGCTTTCCTCACTTCTGCCCCCACTTGTGCTGCCTTCAGTGAATGATCTCTCACAATGCCAAGATCTTTCTTCTTATTGACAGCATCCAGGAAATTGTTGTTAATAGAATAGTTGTGCTTATAATTGTTGTATCCTACATGTAAGGTCTTGCAATTTCGTAATGTTAAAGATCATTTGCCCATCTCGAGACCATTTGAACAACTTATCCAGGTCTTTCTGCATTGTTACGACATCGTCTTGACTTGCTACCTTCCCAAATATCTTCATGTCATCCACAAACTTGACAATGTGGCTTAATATATTTTCATTTATGTTGTTTATGTAGATCACAAACAACCTTTTTTCCATTCAGAATGTACTCCATTTATTACCTCTCTTTGTTGCCTTCTTTGAGCAAGTTGATAATCCACGTCAAAATCTTGCCTGTGATGTCATGTGCGCTGATCTTTGAGGCTAGTCGTGCATGTGGGACTTTGTCAAAAACTTTGGAGAAATCCATGTACAGTATCTCAAAAAAGTATCTGACAAGATGGGTCCGATGACTTCTGAAATGCTTCATGCATCTCATGGTGTCTCTGGAGGGTTGTATGCGTGGCTCTGTGGCATACTGATCTTGCTACATTTGGTAACCGAACCTTTTATTAATGACGTCAAAGTAAATACACATTGCATTAATTATGTTAAACTATATACCAAAGTAAGTGCCTGTCTCAATATCTATCATCCGTGGTTCATGATGTTTCACACAGAATGTGGACAGATACTTTTTGATACAGGTAGTTCTGCTATAACGCGATAATTGTGTTCTTGTAAAATATCGTGTTATAGAAAATCGCGTAATAGAAATAACAGGGCTTATGGAGAAAATAGGGTTAGGTGCAGATTACTCGAAATCGAAAAAATTTAGTAGTTAGCCTAACACAAAGGATAGCACAGTCTAAATAAATGTTACATTCATATCTAATAATGAAATCATACAGTAAATTTAACACTTTACCTTGAAAAAATATGAATGTAACTTGATGGGGGAGAAGGGTGATTTTGAGGTTGATAACATCAAGCTTCTCTTCAAGTGTTATATCCTTTCTTTTACGATAATCACCGGGAATTCTATCATCAGAATGCTTTTTGGAGATATTCTTCTTTACCATATTCACAGTTAATACCACAAAATTGGAGAAATAGTAAGCAAAAATCGCGTTATAGCAAACAAGCGATCGCGTTATACAAATACCGTATATCACGGCCTATAAGACGAAATTTGAACATTAAAAAAATCTGCCCAAAGTTAGGGGGTCGTCTAAACCACCAAGTTTAAAATTCTTACCTCTTAAATATTGTGGTTTAGTGTGTCAAGAGTGGTGATGAAAACATCGTAAGCCACTCACAAGGTCTTACCACTAATTATTTTATACTGAAACTTACGTTTGGCAAGCTGGATTCAAATTAAGATTACCGGTATATTAAAATAATAAAAATGTATTATAAACCTGTCTAACATACCGTAAAAGAGATTTATACCCCTGTAATAAACACAGCTATCATCACACACCCCTCCCCACGCCCCCCCCATTTGCCAGTGAGGAGACAAGAAAGGAAAAGTGCATTAATTCTTGAAACTATCGACGGTTAATTACAGACGCTCAAGTGACGTCACTAGTGTTTACACTACACCAGCTGGTAATATTTGATGCCATTACTTGAAGTGAATTGGCCTTATTTTAAGTAACTAACTATAAATAAATACAAAAATTAAAAAAAAAAGATCAAAACTGAGAAATAATATACTGTATGTATGTTGTGTTGTCAAAGTAAGAGGAACAATTGTGTAAGTACGTAATATTTTTTCACTCAAATCCTAATGAAACACTACTGGAGAACATTCCTTTGTCGCAAAACAGTTTATAAATTAAAGAAAATAATTACAGTGTGTTTAATATATTACAGTATATTATAAATAAATAAATAAAACAAATAATTCGGTAAATCTATTTAAAGTAAATGGAAAATAAGCAAACATGTTATTTACCAAGACCCTTCCGTCTGGCTCAGGGTGAGATGGAGGGGAGATAAAGAAGGCTATTTATAGCCCATCAGAAGTGGCTAGTACCCTAATGCACCATAAATAATTCATTGAACATTCATTTTTTGTACATAGTATATTCAGTATATATATATATATATATATATATATATATATATATATATATATATATATATATATATATATATATATATATATATATATATATATATATATATATATATATATATATATATATATATTTGTGTAATAAATGTATGTAGTAAGTACATACTGGTAACCTTTTTCACTCAAATCCTAATGAAACATCACAATTAGAATACGGTGGTTGCTGTTGAACTACATGTTGTATAAATAGTCACACCACCCAGACGAGGGAACACTCCCACCACGCTTCAGTGACGTCACTAGTGTTTACACTACACCAGCGAGTATAATTTGATGACATTACTTGAAGTGAATTGGCCTTATTTTAAAAAATCAAGGATGGTTGGTAAAGGACTACTGAGTCAGTGGGTAAGTGTCACATTTGGGGTACTGGTCTTATACAGCAAATAGAGCTCAAAAGCTACTTTTTAAATGGAAATTTGGGGGGGGCGTCTTATGCACCCCGCCGCCTTATAGGCCGTGATATACGGTATGCACCTTGTTTTGTACTTCTCCTTAGTCTGTACTCACCCCTGAAGATGTGAATTACACGAAAGTTCTTGGGAACTTTGTGTTTTCTTCTTTCCTTGTGGTTATCAGCATATATATATATATCCATTAGCTGGAATCCCTCAAACTGGGAACTCTCCGATAACCGGAGTTGAAATTTTCTCGGAAATTGGTTCTCAAAGCCGTAATTTTGGGAAAAATTCCGGCTGTGGGAACGATTTTACTAGGGGCACATTTTCCGGAAAATTCCAAGAAAATTTTTCCAATACCCAGAAAATTCCGGGGATGGGGGAGTTTTTTTCCTGGTTTGAGAGATGAAAACCAGGTGCATTTTCTGGAATTTCTGAGAAAAATTTTCCGTTACCCAGGAAATTCCAGGGAAGAGGGATATTTTTCTGGGTTCGAGAGATGATGTAATGGGCAATTTCTGGAACTACCGAGAACATTTTTCCGTTACCCGGAAAATTCCGGGGATGAGGGATTTTTTTCCGGCTTTGAGAGTTGTCTCGTTACCCTGAAATCTCTCATTCTCGGAAGTGCTCTGCACTAATTGTTGCGGCTAATGGGGATATCACTGTGTGTGTGTATATATATATATATATATATATATATATATATATATATATATATATATATATATATATATATATATATATATATATATATATATACACAGTCGACCCTCGTTAATTCGGACTAATAGGGGGGAAGGGTGTCCGTTTTAGCCGATTGTCCGAATTAACCGATTTAGGGGTTAATATTACATTATATTTCAAAGTCATTGTTTTCGTCACGATTTTATCCCACTTTCCACTGTAATACGTACGTAATTTCAGCAAAAATATTACATTTCCGTGAATGTATTATATCAAGCACAGTATGAATAGAATATCATTGTAATATAACAGTATTTTAACCGAAAACTAGTAAAAAAACGAATAACATCTCAAGAACATCGGAAGCTTAGGTAAAGTCTTTTGTTTTCGTCATGTATTTTATCCTATTTTACATTGAAATACATCACGTTTCAGCAAAACTACTACAGTGGAGTATGTTATAACGAACGGATCCTACTACGAATATTTCTATAACGAACGGTTTTACCTATAAAATTGAGAATGCTATAACGAACGATACTCCTACAACGAACATTATTTAATTTTTTTTTTTTTTTTCTAATTTATTGTTTTTTTATTACAAATATTAATGATATTCTTTATTTCAAGGGTTTAGATGCATATTTATGCACTTTTTTACAATTTTTACAATTTTATATTATATTTTTCAGTGTTGAGTGGTTGTATTTGGGGGCCTGGAACGGATTAATCCTATAACGAACAAATGCTATAACGAACAAGGTTCTAGAACCAATTAGATTCGTTATACCATACCCCACTGTATTTATTTCCGAGAATATATTCATTCAGGCGCAGTTTAGGTAAAATATATGTATGATGTAACAGTTTTTAACTGAAAATGATTAGAAAAACACGTACCCTCTAGCCCTGTTCAAGGAGAGGACTGGGAGAAGCTGTTTGGTGCTGCAGACGATGACAAGGAAAATGTTTTGGATGGATTTTAATGAAAATATTAAGAAATATGGTATCGTAGTATTTATTCAAGTCAATTAGGATAGAATATTATTGTAATACAACAGTTTTTTAACTGAAAACCAATCGAAAAGCGATTACGGTAACATCTTTTGAACGAAAGAAAGCGAAAGTCATTGTTTTCGTCACGATTTTATCCCACTTTTCACTGTAATACGTACGTCATTTCAGCAAAATATTACATTTCCGTGAATGCATTATATCAAGCACAGTATGAATAGAATACCATTGTAATATAACAGTATTTTAACCAAAAACTATTAAAAAAACCCGAGTAACTTCTCTTGAACATCGGAAGGTTAGGTAAAATCTTTTGTTTTCGTCATGTATTTTATCCTATTTTACATTAAAATACATCACGTTTCAGCAAAACTACCATTTATTTCCGAGAATATATTCATTCAGGCGCAGTTAAGGTAAAATATACATGTGATGTAGCAGTTTTTTAACTGAAAACGATTCGAAAAACACGTGTACCGTCTAGCTGATACTCAACAGCTGGTGGTGCGTCATACGTCGTTGTAAACAATAGGAGGTTGAAGTAGATTACCGGTTATTATATTAAAAGTGAAATATCAAAAAGGTTTTTATTACCCGTATTTTTTGTAGATCAATGAGAACTGTGATACCATATATGATGTGATAAGTTAGCCTGTGCTAAAAACTTCAACATAGACTACTGAAAACACGTTGTAAGGTAATTTAGCCTATTGTAAGTTGGTGAGCTTCATTTGCTGAAGGAACTGCACAACTTTTCATTACTAATTGGTACATATTTTACGTTTCCATTGTTTACTGGCAGTAAATGGTAAATATTTCTCATGTCTGAAGCTAAAAGTTGCATCCCCCCCCCCCCACACTAGTGGTGGAGATGTTACATTTAACCAAAAAGATGCTGGTGTTTTATCCCAGCAGTGGGTGGACCAGCATTTTAGCTTAAGGTCCGCGTAGGTAATATTCCTACAAATCTAAAAAAAATAAAAAAAATAAAGTTCGTTCAGATTTTGTCCGAATTATCCGAAATCCGGATTAAAGGGGTCCGAATTAACGAGGGTCGACTGTATGTACTTGCATGGAGGATTTTGGCATTCAGGTTTCACACTTGGCTCCTGGAGGTAGGGAACATATTTGGTTGTGGCTAACATACTATGTGATCATTCCCATTCTCCAGTTTGACTTTGGCTTCTGACTGGAAGGTTAGTGTTCTCTGTATTTTCTAGGGATTGGAATTAGATTTTAAAGTGATTTTGGTGGACATACAGTATATGAATACCTTCAGCATTCTAGTCTAAGAATGAAAGATCATAACCAAAGTTCTGCATGGCATTAGGCTGTAGAGATACTTATTGTGGAATCAGGATCTTCTCCATGTGTACTGGTTCAGGCAGGACAGCAACAAGTTTCTTAAAGTGCTTCTATACTCTGTAGCTGGTTGTCTTATCATAGGGGAAGTGAACCTGGTGATTCTGGATTATTTCATTGCCTTATCTCTGTATAAATTTTTGTTTTATCGTCCATGGGGGAGGACTTTTGGTAGTATATAGTGACCACAAGACTCTCTTTGTGTCAAGGAGATCTGAATTCCTAGTGCAGGAGCATTTTGGATGCATAATATCCTGCACTGAAGTTAAGACTTTCTAAGAAACAGTTCTAGTGCTTAGCTTGGCAGTGATGGGATTACGAAGTTAGATTCAGCCTCAGAAATTTTAGTTAAATCTAAGATAGATGTTATCTTTTTTGCCATAAGCTTCAGGACTTTTTGTGTTTTAGTGACAAGGTTTGTTCTAAGGCTAATCTTGTGTAATTTTGTGATTTCATTGGGTGCCTGGTAGGGTCAGATAGGGGAAGTTGTTAGTTAACTAGTCATGTAATTTTCCAAGGACTTGGTTACATCAAAGATAAGGTTTTTTACCATGTCAAACTCCTCCCAGGTTGTTGTTGGACCTCATAGGTCATGAGGATCTCACTGTCTGTCTACTATATAATACATGTTTAATTAGGGAGAAGGAATGTCTAGACTGGCTTTCACTTACCTATGTGGGTCACAATAACATATTTTTACATCCTTGCTATATTGCTAATGTTACTTCTTTATAATTTTAGATTCCTATAACAGTAAAACTTAGCTTGGTTACTTATTAAAAAGGCCTGTGAATGATATTGAAGGTAAATTCACCCTCTCAGCCTCTCATGACGCCGCTGTGGTGTCGAACATAAAAGGCAAAAAATTTTACAGCTGATTCGCCAGGCAAGAAGATGAAGGTAGCAATGCGTGTGATGGAGGGTGCGGGAGGGGGTTTTGAGAATTGTAATTAAATGCCAGGTAGCGACGTGTCCTCCTAATATTACATATTTAAGTAATTATTAGATGTTTTAATTGCCTGTATGTTGGCCTGGCGAGATAATGCTAGGCATTTACATACCTAGGTATAAAGCTAGACTTCGCCATCTAGATTGAACAAAAATATATATTTTTTTCAACGATTTTTTGGCAAGAGATCATTATTATGTGGGAAATCAAAGATGACTCCTGATTAGAACATGAGGATCTCTACAGTCATACGTCTTTATTCCTCTCATATCATAAAATAATATTGATTCTCTGTGATGTTTAAGGAATATGCTCCCCAAGGAGAGGCACAGGCACAGGAAGCTTTGGAGACCATCAATGTCCACCTCTCCACGGATCTTGCACCTGCAAAAAAACCACAGGTAATGTTCTTCCGTATTTATTTTACAGCTGTTTTATGTAGACTACAGGTGTGTGTGTATATACATATATTGTATATACAGTGTAGTCTCGGTTTACGCGGTCAATTAAACCCATGGTGGTCCTCGTAAAACTCGAAACGCGTAAACGAAATAACAGAACATATGGGATTAATTGAAATAGAGACTGGGCCGACCCCCAGACTACCCTTTTTCCGACACAATACGTACGTTGTAGTAAAAATAACATCTTAATTTTATGATGGTATGCACACACAATTAATATATAAGAGAAATATCAATAATATTAGGTTTTTTAACACTTAAGTTAGTAGAAGAGATGGCTGGGCACACAGGGATGGGGGGATGGTTCCGAGGCAGAGGGCAGATTACTGGCCCACAGGTGTATCACTTGTATCACCTGTATCACTATCCACCACAGAGGCTAGCAGGGCCTCCTTGTCAAACCCCTCAAAGTCCATATCCTCACTATCACTGACTTTGGCTGGCTGTGGCTGTGGTGGGTTGCGGGTGAAGAACTCAGTAATATTTCGTTGACGGCTAGCATTGATGTGGTCGTGATACGTCTGGACATACGGCTCCATAGATTTCAACAGATGGTTATTGGAGACTTCATAGCGATGATTCACTGGGTCTTTGGCAAGGATGAGCTTGATTTTCTCAGCAAACTCGATGACCTCCTTCACATCACTATGTGTCAGTTTCTGTTCTTGTAACACCTGGCTGTTCACTGACGTCATCATCTTCCAACATCTCCTCTGCAGTCACCTCAGGTTGCCTGATTACCTCCAGGATGTTGTCATTGGTGGTTTCGGAGAAGCCTGCAGCTCTAACACTTAGTGCAGCCTCTCTTGCTATGTCCAATGCCACAGCAACAGACTGAACCTCACCAGCCACTGCTTGACTCTGCCTCCCACCTGGGATACCCTCCAACACATGCCGCCACGCATGACGAAGCATTGCCACAGACAGCTGCCCCCATGCCTCCAAGAAATCAACAGCTTTCTTGATGTAACACAGTTTCCAGAACTGCTTAACTCGCACTTCATGGTCTGCCAAATCTTGTTCTGGATCCTCGTCCTCTCTCTCGCCATCGGTGCCATTCAGAAGGTTCTGCAATTCATCCTTGGTGTTGGTGAAGACGTTCAGGAGCCGAAACTTCTTTGCTGAGAAAGCAGCCTTGTCGTTGCATATCAACTCCTGATCCATGAGCTGGATTAACGACGTAGTGTTAGGGGGAAGGAAGACCACTTTTACATTGGGGTGACGATCCAGCAATAGGGGCGAGTGTCCTGGTGTGTTGTCAAGGAGCAACAAAATGTTGAATGGAACATTATGTTGCTCGCAGAATTTCTTCACGTCAGTACCGAAACAGTTGTCAAACAGTTGGCTAACCTCATGCCTTACGTGAGGTTAGCCAATAGACTTTTAACTTGTTCATGTCCATATTTTTGTAGGCATGCGGCTTGCGGGCTTTATGGATCACAGACAACTTCAGCTTACAAGTGCCGTAGGCATTAGTGGTGAACAGGACGGTGATGCGCTCCTTCTGCAACTTCCGGCCCCGACACTTGCTCGCAGACTTGACTACAAAGGTCTTGGATGGCAATTTCTTCCAAAACAACCCGGATTCATCCATGTTGAATTTTTTTACCCATATATGTGTACATGTACATTAATTACTAAATGTAAAGAAGTAACACTTACCAGTGCTGCAAGTGAAGAATAAAGTATCATGGTAGGTGACACAGAGGTATGGTTGGTGATGCATGTGGCCAGATATGCCGAGATTTTCCCAAATAATTTTATATATCTCTGCATTCCCCGAGTTATACAAATACATTCCGAGACCACATCCATACTGAATTATATGAAATTTCAAGTTAATGCTGAGCTATCGAGGGTTTAATGTTTTATTTAATTTTTTTCAATGAACCACGAACCGTAAAACCACAAATGGCGAGGGTCTTGTATATACTGTGCAGTAATATGCTTCTTTTTTTTCTTACAGGTTCACCATACATTACTGTGGGGATACCTGATCAGTGGTGAAGCACGCATTATATTAGGTCAACTTGTTGGAGCACAGGAAGCTCTCAGTCTTGCTCTCTATCACACTCATGTCTATTCACGAATGGTAAGTAGCTTTTATTACTCATTCCTTAAAACTTTGTCCCATTATTACAAGAAAATAACAATTATATTATAGTATAATTCCATGAGCCTTTGTATGAAACGAGTAAATATATGCTGTAGCTTCTCTTTCGCTAATTATGCATCATGTTGCCCCTTTGCCCACCATGAAAATGTTACTCACACTTTTTCCAAGCAACACTTTCTAATTTCAGGGCCTACCTAGCCTTAGGCCATGTCATGATTCATGGCCCAACCAAATTCATGACACAATTAATACAGGCATTTAGCATCTTATTCTTTCCACTGACATCAAATCAAACTCTGGGATACTAAACACATCAGTATTCCCACAGTCAAGCTACCTTGAGTCAGAATTTTGCTACTGCTTCGCTTAACAATCCTGTGAGCCATGATAACTAAAACACTACATGTACATTATATTTAGCTGTGTTAATTGATCTCAGTATAGTACAGTGGTCCCGAGGTTAACGAGCACAATCCGTTCTAGAAGGTTGCTCGTTAACCGAAACCATTGTTTCAATGGGTTTTTGGGTAATTGGTTCCAGCTCACCGAAAATTGCCTAAATTCAACAAAAAAGGTAGAAAAGTACACTTCCTTTGAGGTGTGTATGTAGAAGGCTCCTGGATGATGATGATGATGATGGGAATTAGAATGGGGGTGGAGGAGAAGGGAGAAGAGAAGGTATTGGGGTGGAAGAGAAGTCACCCCATGGCGCCATTTCACCCATAAAATTTTAGTTTTCTTGGTGTAATTCAAGATTATTTTCTTTAAATCAACATTGCACTGCATTATATATTGTCAATATGTAAAATAAATTTCAAAATGACCAATAATTTGCTTGCAAACACAGAAAAAATGCGTTTAGTTGAAGAGAGTCTCAAGCAAGATGTTACCTCCACTGAAAAGACAGAGACTGGTGCCTGTTTGGTGTGTTGCCAGGCTGGATGGCGCGCATAAAACTAGTTTCCTTAACTTCAATTATGTTCAATAATTGTTAAAATGACTAAAAAATTTTATATTAAACTTTTAAAATTATTGAATAGTATAAACTTCTTGATATTTACTAAAATGGTAAGGAATATAAGCCCTAAAACCGATTACTGTACTGGCGGACTAATACTACAGCTGGTGGACCGCCAAATGCAAGCGAAAACATGTTGAGGTCGGCTCGTAAGAAACTCGTTAATCGAGGGATTGCTCGTTAACCGAAGTTAAGAATCTTATGGAAGGTAACTCGTTAACCGAAATCTCATTAACGGAGGCGCTCATTAACCGAGGGCCACTGTACAGCACTTTATGTCCAGTACAGTAGAACGTCGATTTAAAGCAATTCTATTTAAGATTATTGATTTAAAGCGGCACCCACAATTAAGGACAATGTTTTAATTTAAAGCGAATCTTTCCTATTTTGCACGAGTCAATCTGGCGCATCATATTTAAAATTTTGCGCCTAATATTTCTCTGGGCACGCTACACTGTCCTAAGGGCAAAGCTGTACTGTACATGTACTCAAAATAAATGTACTAAATGATTACTAACATTTTTGTCAAGTGCAAACTATAGCATGTTTATAATAAAATTAATCACTATCTTATAAGAAGTTCAGCAATGTAAATTATATTCTCCCCGGTCACTTCTGTGACATTTTATTAGTAAAAAACATAAACGCAATCTAAAGGACATAAATAAACAAATAAATACTTCACTAGACCTCAGCGCCAACTGTCAAACATGTCACTGTCACTCCCCTCCCCTCCCTCCATTCCCCCCCATCTTCCCAGCCTCGGTTTGGTGTTTTAGGCTTAAAGTTTTTATCTTATATAATGTCACAGACTAAAATTAGGAGATATAATTTGTATTGCTGGAATCCTTGCAAGACAGCGAATAATTTGAATATAAACATCATATATTTTGCACAAGAGATAAAAATTTTTGCTCTCTGTAATAAAATTCTTAAATTAGAACTAAAATTTGTACAGTATGTCTAATGCGAGCAATAGCATGTTTATATTAAAATTAATCACTATCTTATACAAATTCCAGCAATGTTAATTATATCCTCCCATGTCAGTTCAGTGACATTTTATAAGAGAAAAACTTAAAGTCGCTCTTAAGGACAGATAAATAAATAGGCACTAGACCTTGGCATCAACTGTCAAACATATCACCTCACCTCCCTCCCTCCCCATCTTCCCATCTTCCCAGCCAGTAAACAGACCATTTCACATCCCTTAATTTGAGCTGTGTTTTATGAGTGTTTGTTTTAACATAATACTACAAAAAACAAGATTTTGTTTATTCTAGGAGATGGTCTGGGGTGCATCTGGGTAGACTCTCAGTCTTTTTAGTATTTTGTGTTTCTCTCAAGTCCCAAACAAAATTATTCAATTGAAACAACACTTCGATTTAGTGCGAATTCGGTTTAAAGCGACCTCTCTTGGAACCTATCTCGTGTTATATCGACGTTCTACTGTACTCAGTCAGTAGCTGTGTGCATTTTAGTTCCATAAAAGATTTTTTTCAGATTCAATATAAAATGGTTAATGTAAGCTGCAATAATACTCATAAAAAGTTTCACACTAAAGAACAGTGTTCCTTAACTTTTGTAACCTTGTGTCTCCAGTCAGGGTGAAAGATATTGTCAGTAAGAAGTTGCCAGTGATAATGACAAGTTGATAACCATCTGTACCTGATTGACCACACCTTTACATCCCTAGGAGATGTCACTTGCTTCTTCACACACCTTCCCCATCATTCCTACTGCCCTCCCTCTAATCAGTGGTGGTGACCCAGTGATGTATGAGGTCGTGACCTCACATGTAGAGCCACTCATCATGGCAGATCCTTTAACCCTTAAAGGTCTAACAAATCTTGGGAAGTCTCCCTTCAGTCACTGAATAGTAGGCTAAAAAATGAAAATAAACAAAGGAATTTTCTAGTCTTATGAAATGTTAGATATACATGCTAGTCAATAGGAAATACAGTGGTCCCTCGGTTAACGAGCACAATCCGTTCTAGAAGGTTGCTCGTTAACCGAAAAACTTGTTAACCGAAACCATTGTTTCAATGGGTTTTGGGGTAATTGGTTCCAGCTCACCGAAAATTGCCTAAATTCAACAAAAAAGGTAGAAAAGTACACTTTCTTTGAGGTGTGTATGTAGAAGGCTCCTGGATGATGATGATGGGAATTAGAATGGGGGTGGAGGAGAAGGGAGAAGAGAAGGTATTGGGGTGGAAGAGAAGTCACCCCATGGCGCCATTTCAACCATAAAATTTTAGTTCTCTTGGTGTAATTCAAGATTATGTTCTTTAAATCAACATTGCACTGCATTACATATTGTCAATATGTAAAATAAATTTCAAAATGACCAATAATTTGCTTGCAAACACAGAAAAAAGCGTTTAGTTGAAGAGAGTCTCAAGCAAGATGTTACCTCCACTGATAAGACACAAAGACTGATGCCTGTATGGTGTGTTGGCAGGCTGGATGGCATGTTCAATAATTGTTAAAATTACTAAAAAATTTAATATTAAACTTTTAAAATTATTGAATAGTATAAACTTCTTGATATTTACTAAAATGGTAAGGAATTTAAACCCTAGAACCGATTACTGTACTGGCGGACTAATACTACAGCTGGTGGACCGCCAAATGCAAGCGAAAACATGTTGAGGTCGGCTCGTAAGAAACTCGTTAATCGAGGGATTGCTCGTTAACCGAAGTTAAAAATCTTATGGAAGGTAACTCGTTAACCGAAATCTCGTTAACCGAGGCGCTCGTTAATCAAGGGACCACTGTAACATAATTATTACTGTACTCACCACCTATGGTTGTTGGTGAGAGTTGGAGAAGTCGGCGAAACATTGTACCTCACCACCTGTCTGGCAGTTATCGAGCATGGTTCCTTATTATTACACTACATGCACTATATACAGTACATTCACCACTCTCTTTTGGATTAGAGGTGTGTTTACGAGTGGAGCTCAGGGAAACATGGAATGCACAATGGCACTTTGCATTCGGCACACATCCATGTGAGTTTCCTTATCTGAGGTCGTTTGGACATACACTAGATGAACACACCCTGCAGCGATGCTGACCCTTAACTCAATGTTTCCTTGTGCTCTTTGATACTTCTGGAGGTGGTATGGCTTCAATATAATGACGGGCCATATAGTTTTGTGCAGCAAGGCGGTTCGGACCAAATGGTTGGGATGCAGTACAGGGCTGCTTCACTTATCGCAAAGGTTACGGACATAAAACTCGTTGCAAATATGGAAATTGCGAATAGATGAGCAATTTCTCCCATAAGAAATTATGTAAATAGGGAGGATACGGGCATCGCGGTGGTCACGGACGTCATATTTTAACACTTGTTTTACTCAATACACATAGAACATAAACTAGATAAAGAAACAAGGGCATAATATCAAATAAACATCAATAACAAACACTTTGAGTTCATTAGTCGTGTATATACAGTGGTCCCTCGGTTAACGAACGCCTCGGTTAACCAAATTTCGGTTAACAAATTACCTTCCATAAGAATCTTCAATTCGGTTAACGAAAAAAAAATTTGATTAACGAAATCCTTAAGAAAATCACGTTTTGTTTTGAACATCAGCTGATAAGCTGAGGAGGAACTCAGCCAATTCAGTAATCTCTTCTGTGTTTACATTCGATTCCAATGGAGTAAATATAAAAAAAATTATGCTCTTTAATATTTGTGCATTTTTTATACAGTATTAAAATTATTGGTCATTCTAAAATTTAGCCATCCAAGCTCTGTCTACATAAAGTTTTTCAACTACAGTAGAAGTCCAAAAATCTGGACTGCTTGGGGATTGGGTCGGTCCAGATTTTCGGATTTTCAGGATTCTCAGGCAGTACTTTTAAAATTCAAATTTAACGAAGAGTAAAGAAGAAATGAACAGGTACATTTTGATAGTTTATTCATTTGCAAATATAGTATGCTTCATTTATCAAAACGAGCAGTTTTAATGAAAAAGCTGTGAATTCTAAATTTTATTCTTTGCCTTTTATATATCATAAATTGTAGACTTTCCAATGTCGTATGTTTCCATTAGAACAGTATTGCTCACACCACGTTCTAGTTGCTTAATTATTTCAAGTTTGTCACTCAATTTCAACGTGTTCTTCTTTCTCTTCACATAACGAAGTTTATCTATTTTAGGAGCCATTATTATGGGCTTGTACAGTACTCTGTAAATGGAAAGAGTAGGACTCAAAATATTGTTATATTACAATGGTATTCTATTCATACTGTGCTTGATATAATGCATTCACGGAAATGTAATATTTTTGCTGAACGTACATATTGCAGTGGAAAGTGAGATAAAATCGTGACGAAAACAATGACTTTCGCTTTCTTTCGCTCAAAAGATGTTACCGTAATCGCTTTTCGAATGGTTTTCAGTTCAAAAACTGTTTCATTACAATAATATTCTATCCTAATTGACTTGAATAAATACTACGATACCATATTTCTGAATATTTTCATTAAAATCCATCAAAATCATTTTCCTTGTCATCGTCTGCAGCACCAAACAGCTTCTCCCAGTCCTCTTTTTGAACAGGGCTAGAGGGTACGTGTTTTTCGAATCGTTTTCAGTTAAAAAACTATTACATCACACGTATATTTTACCTAAACTGCGCCTGAATGAATATATTCTCGGAAATAAATAGTAGTTTTGTGGAAACGTGACGTATTTCAATGTAAAATAGGATAAAATACATGACGAAAACAAAAGACTTCACCTAAGCTTCCGATGTTCTTGAGATGTTACTCGTTTTTTTAATAGTTTTCGGTTAAAATTCTGATATATTACAATGATATTCTATTCATACTGTGCTTGATATAATACATTCACGGAAATGTAATATTTTTCCTGAAATTACATACGTATTACAGTGGAAAGTGGGATAAAATCGTGACGAAAACAATGACTTTCGCTTTCTTTCGTTCAAAAGATGTTACCATAATCGCTTTGCGAATGGTTTAGTTTTAAAACTGTTGTATTTCAATAATATTCCCTCCTAATTGACTTGAATAAATACTTGAATGGAAATATACAATATTTTTGTTGAAACTACCCGCGTTTCAGTGTAAAGTGTCGTAATAATAAATGGTAAACAATTTGCCTTCAGCACTTGTGTTTCTTGCACGGCTAGCCTCAGTTTATAGGACGTAGAGCGTTTTTACTGAAGGTTTTGTTGTTCCATTACCCTCAAAAACGTGGGTCGAACTATAAACGAGGAATATCATAAATTAACGATTTCTTGGTCAAAAAATCAGGGTCGACTGATAACAAGGGGGGTTATAGACGAGTATATACGGTATGTTGTCACAGTTTGATTGCTCATTTTAAAGTGGCGACCACGTGGTCGCTTGTTGTCGCTGTGCAGCTGTGGCGCTCACGCATGCGCACATACACACAAATGCCCGCTAAAAAAAAAAATCGTTTTTGAAAAGTCCGGATTCTCGGGCGGTCCGGATTTCTGGCATCCTGATTTTTGGACTTTTAGTGTATTATTAATGGCTCCATATATGTAACTTTATTCATTTATTGAAACTCATTTACATGCACACACTGTCCTAAGGGCAAAGCTGAACTGCACATGTAATCAGAATAATGTACAAAATGATTACTAAAATTTTTGTCAAATGCAAACTATGGCATGTTTACATTCAAATTAATTACTGTCTTATAAGAATTCCAGCAATGTAAATTATATTCTTCCCGGTCACTTTTGTGAAATTTTATAAGCAAAAAACAAAAACTCAATCTAAAGGATATGAATAGACAATTAAATACTTCACACCTCCATGCCAACTGTCAAATGTGTCACTGTAACCCCTGCCTCCCTCCTTCCCCCTCCCCCTTCCCTCCTCCCAGCAAGGTTTGTTTGGTGGTGAAACTGTACAGTAGTACGCTTTAAATTTTTATCTTATATAATATCACAGTCTAAAGTTAGGAGAATTTGCATTGCTGGGATCCTTGCAAGACAGTGAATAATTTGAATATAAACGTCATATATTTTGCACAAGAGATAAAAATTAATCACTTGTATCACATTACAGTAGTGATTTAAGAGTAAGAGTGTATATGTACGTATATATACAGTATAGTGATTTAAGGGTGATGTAGGGGAATTTTAGGAGTGTTTCTGACTTTATGCATTTTTGGCTTTACTTTGTATATACTTTTCTGTGAGCTGGAACCAATTGCCCAATATCCCATTGAAACAATGGTTTCGATTAACAAAATTTTCGGTTAACGAACGACCCTCTGGAATGAATTGAGTTTGTTAACCAAGGGACCACTGTACACACACACACACACAACCCACACACACACACACACACACAACCCACACACACACACAACCCACACACACACACACACAACCCACACACACACACACACACACACACAACCCCACACACACACACACACAACCCCACACACACACACACACAACCCACACACACACACACACAACCCACACACACACACACACACACAACCCACACACACACACACACACAACCCACACACACACAACCCACACACACACACACACACACAACCCACACACACACACACACACACACAACCGCACGCACGCACGCACGCACGCGACGACGCACGCACGCACGCGCACACACACACACACACACACACACACACACACACACACACACACACACACACACACACACACACACACACACAGTGACTTGAAAAGTAGAGGATAATAGTCACTAAAGGTCGACTGTCTTCCTAGATAGAAGACGAGGCGGCCCATTCTTGACCAGACCTGATAGAAACTTGCCCAAACACAATATATGAGAGACATAATCAAAATAAAAGTCACTCGATTTCCTCACCATGCTAAGATGTATAAATACCAAAAATAAAATCCTAATGGCACTTTATATTTTAGCTATTACAACAGAAATTAGCGGAGCTACAGCGTGTTTACAGCTGATTCGCCAGGCAAGAAGATGACGGTAGTGATGCGTGTGATGGAGGGTGCGGTTGGGGGTTTTGAGAATTGTAATTAAATTCCTGGTAGCGACGTGTCCTAATATTTCGTATTTAAGTAATTATTAGGTGTTTTAATTGCTTGTATGTTGGCCTGGCGAGTTAATCCTAGGCATTTACATACCTAGGTATAAAGCTAGGTGTCACATTCTGGAATGAACAAAAACAATATAATTTTTTTTTAATTACTGTATATGCATTGAACTAGTTTCTTATATTCTCATTCACCACAACAGGTCTCACGATGGAAGAAAAAACTAACCCCATCACTCACAATGGATCGGGCGCTTGATTTACAAGTTAAAGTCCTTTGTGCCCAAGCAACCCTTTATACCAAGAGGAGAAAATATATCAAGGCCAGGGTAAGATGATCACAGTTTTATCGCTTCTTTTTTATTTACAGTAAGGACGTGATTCTTATATAATATAGTATGTATTGTAAGTATTTAATGAGAGATTTGATATAAAGTCAGTTTCTAGATCTATTTTCAGTACAATATATGTAGTATACAGTACAGTATTTCTTTTAATTCTATCATTTCATCCATTGAAACCAATTATTATGCTATATTCTCCAGTCTTTCCCATGATGCTTTATTTTTTTTATTTTACCATAGTATTGTAACCGAAAATTTCGTTAACTGAATCTATTATTTCAATGGGATATTGGGTAATTGGTTCCAACTCACAGAAAAAGTACATACAAAGTACTGTATACCAGTAATAGAATTAACAAAACATTAAGTATAAACTAAATACAGTACTGTACTGTACAATAATAAATAAAAAACAATAGAATACTGTATTTTAACTAACTTTGAGGTGTGTGTGTCGTATTACCGGCAGCTTTGTTTATATGTCAAACAGCTAATTGTAGAGGCAGTCCATGATGACATGCCATATTCTTTACAGAGTGCATTGGTTCTAATGCCTTCTTCATGTTTCATAATAATTTCTGCACTGTATATTATCAATATGTTAACTAAATTTCTAAATGACCATTAATTTTAATGTAAAAATGAAAAAAATATTCAAGAGACCAACAAAATCAATGTTCACCCCACTGTAAACAAAGTTAAACTGAGAAGTGTTGGTGGGTGATTCAATCAGCTGATTGGCAAACAAAAACTGTTCTCTGTATTGTATATATTATCAATATATTAACTAAATTGGAAAGACCAATAATTTTAATATAAAAAATGCAGAAATATGCAGGAGACCAACTTTCTTGATATTTACTTCACTGGAAACGAATGTAAACATAGAACCAATTACTGTATTGGCGGACTAGCCGATCAGCTGATCAGCTGATGCACACAACAAAATGTGTTTGTCGTAAGGATTTCGTTAATCGAAGTTTTGTTCGTTAATCGAACTGAAAATCCTAATTCGTTACCGAAATTTCGTTAATCGAACCGTTCGTTAACCGAGTGACCACTTACGACTACATGAACTTACCCTCCATTGGTACTTACGACCTGCTTTGACCGTACGTCCGTCGGGACTTACGACTGCGACTGTCGTGACCAAAAGTATTTTCAAATGACGCACGCATTTTCTATACCGAAACGTTTCCGTCCCGGGCGAGAGGGTGGCGCGTCTCGGGTCACCTCGTGGGTACACTCACTCAGTGGAGCGCTTTGTTTGTGTTTGGCTATCGTATCCTATACTGATCGCGCTGTGACTTTCGTTATTATCGTATTTAATTGACTTTATAATGACTGGAAAGCGTAAAAGTGAGAGTGCTGGTGGTGTTCCAAGGAAAAGGAGACAGGCAATTACTTTTGAGATGAAACTGAAGATAATAACACAGTATGAGAATGGAAAAACAGTAGCAACAATCTCACGCGACCTAGGTTTCTCACACTCGACTATATCCACTATTCTGAAGGACAAGGAACGTATTCGTGAAGTAGTGAAAGGAACAACACCTATAAAGGGAACTATAATATCAAAGAAAAGACAAGGTCCTATCCACGATATGGAAAAATTATTGGTGATATGGATAGAAGACCAGATACAGAAGCGTGTACCCTTAAGCGTTCTAACCATACAGGCTAAAGCAAGAAGCCTGTTCCAAAGCCTGAAGGAGCAGGCAGGAGATGAATGTGATCAAACCTTTACAGGAAGTCATGGGTGGTTTGATAGATTTAAAAAACGCTACAGTCTACACAATGTTAAGGTGAGTGGAGAGGCAGCTAGTGCCGATGTTGGTGCTGCCGAAGCTTTTAAGGAGGAATTAGATGATGTGATTGTGGAAGGGAATTATTTGCCTAAGCAAATATTCAATGTGGATGAGACTGGATTATTGTGGAAGCGCATGCCTGAATGGACATACATCCACAAAGAGGCGAAAACAATGCCCGGATTCAAGGCATTCAAGGACAGAATTACACTTCTGTTGGGTGGGAATGTTGCTGGTTTCAAGCTAAAGCCCTTCATGATCTATCATTCAGAGAACCCCAGGGCTTTTAAACATGTCAGCAAGCACACACTGCCAGTGTTTTATCGCAATAACAAGAAAGTCTGGATAACCCTAGTACTGTTTGAGGATTGGTTCATGACTTGTTTCATTCCACGAGCCAAGGAGTATTGTCTGCAACAACAGATTCCATTCAAGATTTTACTGATTTTGGATAATGCTCCGGGACACCCACCACACCTGGACGACATGCACCCTGATGTTAAGGTAGTGTACATTCCACCTAACACTACCTCTATCATCCAACCCATGGATCAAGGTGCTATTGCTGCCTTTAAAGCGTATTATTTACGCACGACCTTCGCTCAGGCTGTTGCTGCTACTGAAGGTGAGAAAACGCTCAGACAGTTTTGGAAGGAGTACAACATTTTGTCATGTATAAAGAACATTAGTGCAGCATGGGATCAGGTTACAAAACATTGCATGAATGGAATATGGAAGAAAATCCTGAAAAGATATGTGCACAGTTTCAAAGGATTTAATGAAAATGAAGTTATTTCGGATATTAGTAACAAGATAGTGGAGTTAGGTAAACAGCTGGAGTTAGAAATTGATAAGTCCATATCCTCACAATATCACTATCACTGACTTGGGCGGCTTGGTGGGGTGGCGGTGAAGAACTCTGTAATGTTTTGATGACTGTACACTATGCCAGCTCGCCTCTTTCCACGAAAGGTACACACACCGAAAGTGACATCGCTTTCAGCGTCGTAAACTGGCAAGGAAGGTTGTCTAATATATATATATATATATATATATATATATATATATATATATATATATATATATATATATATATATATATATATATATATATATATATATATATATATATATATATATATATATATATATATATATATATATATATATATATATATATATATATAATAATATATACATATATATATATATATATATATATATATATATATATATATATATATATATATATATATATATATATATATATATATATATATATATATATATATATATATATATATATATATATATATATATATATATATATATATATATATATATATATATATATATATATATATATATATATATATAGTACAGAAACCTTGCTTTTACGCAGTCAATTGAACCCACGAGGCTCGCTGTAGTTTAGAAAACCATAAAGTGAACAACATAACATATGGGTTTAATTGAAACAGAGACTCCGATTCCCCAAACTCCACTTTTTCCGATACAATACCTACGTTGTAGTTAAAATAACATCTTAATTTTATGATGGTATGCACACACAATTAATATTTAAGAGAAATACAGTCGCCAGGTTAATGTCCATTCAAATAATGGACTCAACTCCCCCCCCCCCTCTTCCCACGCTCGCTGGCTCCTCCCTCTCTGAGAAATGTTTGGGTGAAAACACTAGATTTTAAGGTATAGTAATAATTTAATAAATAATACCTCAAACTAAAGTTAAGATAATATAATTGACATTGCTGGATTCTTTGCAAGACCAGGAATATTTTGAATATACACGTCATATATTTTGCACAAAAGATAACATATTTGCTCTGAGTAAACAAAATTCTTACTTGGATCTAAAATTCGTATGTCTAATGCAAAATATATGATGTTTATATTCAAAATGATCATCAAATTGTAAGAATTCCAGCAATGTAAATTATATTCTGGCCGGGTAATTTGTATGAATTCTATGAGCTAAAACAAATATCTTCAGTAAATAAAAAAAATATACTTCACCCAAACACTATCCGTCAATCAAAATACCCCACCTCCGGCTCCCCCCCCCCTCTTCCCACGCTCGATGGGTCCCTCCTTCCCTCCCTCCCTACCTACATATCTAAACCAGACTGCTGAAGGTGATATTATGTCTCTGGCCATGTAATGAGGACCTAAAAGCTTTCCTGCCACAACTTAATAACTTAGCCCCCTCGATCAAATTCACTGTGGAATTAGAGCATGAATGTAAATTGCCTTTCCTAGACTGTCTGATCCACAGAATAGGTAACACCTTTAAGTTCAATATTTATAGGAACCTACTATTGTGTGTTCATACATTCATTATTATTCTGCCTACCATAATAGAGTCAAACAGTCAGTATTTTCATCAATGTTTTTACGTGCTTTGAGAATTTGCAGCCCGGAATTCATTGATGAGGAACATAAATATATCTATAATATTGGCTCAAACCTTAAGTACCCTAGATCTTTCATAGACAAATGCCTGAACATTACTAAGAAATCTTTCTATAGAACCGATCCCAAGCCCACCCATGACCATAAGAATCTCTAAGTATTACCATTTTACAAAAATTTCTCACAAATTCCTTTACAACTAAAAACCTGGAACGTCAATGTGGCATTTAAAAACTCATGTACTGTTAAACAAATGTTAATCAAGAACTCCCCCAACAATACAGGTGGCTGCATTTATAAGGTTCCTTGCAAGGAATGTAATATGTTTTACTTAGGCCAGACAGGTAAAGATCTTGAAACTAGACTTAAACAACATAAATATAGTGTTAGGACAGGCCAGGAATCCAATGCTCTGTTTGTTCATTTGAGGGATAATAAGCATTGCATTGACTGGGATAATGCCTCCTCAATATAACCTTATAATTCAATTGACAGTAGGAACATTATAGAATCTAGTCTCATTAAACATACCGAATCCGTCAACATAAATTTGAGTAATGGTATGTACAAACTGGATAATTTTGTAATTAAGAAGATTTGTAACCAGGTGAGAAGGCTGGGTCAGCTTACCCTCTGACCTGACTACCGACTGCTGCGGGGCTTTTTGAAGATTAGTAGGGTCATTACCTAATACCTGACCATTGTGGACTTAATCTCACCCTCCTCTGTATATATATACAGTATATATATATACCTTGTTTTGTACTTCTCCTTAGTCTGTACTCACCCCTGAAGATGTGAATTACACGAAAGCGCTTGGGAACTTCGTGTTTTCTTCTTTCCTTGTGGTTATCAGCAGCGGCCAACCAGTAGCACTCAGCCCGCAGCGGAGGAAGTGTTGCTCCGTACTTCGTTTCCGTTTACTGTGAATGTGAAAATATATTTCTTTGCTTTGATTTACATAGTATTTAAAGCTCACTGTGCATTTTAATTTAAATACTTGGACATCATTTTCACCCTTCTTACACAATGGGAAATACTGTTGAAGATATATTGAGTGCACCTTTTTCAACCCGAGCCTACGAGGATAATTTGAAAGTCGCGAAAGAAGCGATTCACCTTGCACAGTATGTAGGTGTGGGAGACCCAGGTGATGCTTCCAATCAGGGGTAAAGGAAACACACTGGTGTCAAGTTCGTAAGTTCTATTTCTGGGACAAACACACAAAAGGAGTTAAGACAGGGGAAACAGCGTCCTGTCTTGGAATCTCTCTGGGTATCTCTCTCTGCACATGCGCGTACAGCGCGCATGTGCCTAAAACATGAACTACACTCAGTGACAAAAGGGGGTATGATTATAACATATAATACAGAGACCTGAATCAATAATGGTAAATAGTACAGTTACATATTACAGCATATTCGTCTCATATATCTACAGTAGGGGAGTGCCCAATAAAAATAAATAAAATAAATATATAAATAAATAAATAACTATAAACAAGCTACAATTTGCACTAGACAAAAATTTTTGTACCCTAATCATTTAGTACATTTACAGTACAGGTTTGCACTTAGGGCATTTATTTCTTTTACGTTTCTTTTAATAGGGTGTGTGCATGTAAATGAATAAAAATAAATGAAGAAATTTATGTTAATCTTCCCTCAAAATACAGTTGAAAAAATTGTACATTATTAAAATGTACTAATGTACTAAAAATTTGATAATTTGTGCAAAATATATGACGTTTATATTCAAATTATTCACTGTCTTGCAAGGATTCCAGCAATGCAAATTATATTCTCCTAACTTTAGTCTGTGATATTATATAAGATAAAAACTAAAAGCCTACTGTATAACCACCAAACCCTTGCTGGGAAGGAAGGAGGGAGGAAGGGGAGGTGACAGTGACATGTTTGACAGTTGGAGCCGAAGGTCTAGTGAAGTATTTATTTGTTTATTTATGTCCTTTAGGTTGAGCCTTTGTTTTTTGCTTGTAAAATGTCATAGAAGTGACCATGCCACCATTCAAACTACAGTCCCATGCTTTGTTTCAATGTAATCACATCTGCCCTTGCTCATGTAACAAACATTATTGTTATTAATTGTTGTGTAAACTTGTGATCGCTGTGATACTTTGCCATTATTGCTCTCTGTGAAGTGATCAGTGTACTGTGCAGTAACTCTGTAACTTTGAAAATGGCTAGCAAGCATCCTACTGACTCTCCCACCTCTGGAAAGCCAAGTCTTCAAGAAAAACCATGTCTTTGGAAATGAAGTTAGACAATGTTAAGCGGCAGCCTTGTTATTATTAATGTGGTGAATGTTGTTTAATTTTTTTGTATTTATTTAATTAGTTTAGAATTTTTTTGTTTTGTTTTTTCTGTGTTACATATCTTTATCAATGGGGGTAATGCCAGTGGAGGCTGTTTGCTCGCTGAATGTCCCCTCTTTGTGTTTCACGGAAGCAATGATCTGGCAATATCACAATCACCAACTATGTTTATGGATGGGGCCCCCGCCATGCACTGCAGACAAATTATGATTGAAATTATTCCACTCTGACTGGAACACTCCATTGTATGGGGCACTGACAATTTCCCCTGCCAGTAGATAAAATTTCTCTTCCAATGCAGCATTAACTGCTGCTTCTAACTCCATGTCAAAGTTGTTGCTCTCACAATGGCCAAATCAATGTAGCATGGTCAACAGTTGCCTGCTCCTGTACACTTATCAAGTTTTGGCAGTTTCCACTCACTGTTGATGACCCCACTGCAAAAATACTGTCCTGTGGAGAGCACCAGGCAACTGGATCAATTAGATTTGGCAACTGCTTGATGGGCTATGATAAAAATTCAGAAACTGTTGGAGTTGTTGGGGGATAACCCCCTCCTTCACATCAAGATCACTGACAGAGGGTGACCATGGGAGTCGACTGTCTTTTTAAAAGCTCTCAAAATTACACCACGTAATAAGTTTGCAACATCCTTCACCGAGTCCTTTGTTATAATTTTATATACCTTGCTGATTGCTTCACCCATGAATATCTTACTACAGGGTACATTGGAGTCTTGATAATTCTCGAAATACATATTCGCATTCTTAACCCTTAGGCTCCGGGTGACGTTCCAGAACGTCCGCCTATTTCCCCCCCCCCCCCTTTTTTTTTAATCTGATTTTTTTCTTGATTTATCCCCGTGGGGGGGTACTGCGTACTGCCAGCTGCACCCTAACCTGGGGCTTTAGGGTTAAACGCGAGGATGCCTCTATTAGTAGCTCTTGTTTAAATTTAAGCATCTTCACGAGCATTTCCCAATTACTGCGTTTTTTGTTTGTGTGTGTGCTTCTTTGAAAATAAAATAAAATTGTTTTGAAATTTAAACACTTATGAAAATACACAGGTAAGCAGAAAAATGGACTTCCTTGACACTAATTCCACTCTATATAAACACTATGGCTTAGAAATAAAGAAAATATAATATAAAACTATAAAATAAGAACAATGAAGAGCATGGTTGTGTAAATATGTGAAGTGAATGTGTGTGGAGGCATTGGGCTGTAACATGGCATGGCTGCCCTCCCTTCCCCAATGTGATGTTATGGCACAGTGCAGCAGCCACACATTTGTGAGTCAGCTGGTTGACTGCCTGGCAGAACTGGGTTGAGTCGTCCAGAAGATGATTTGAGTGTGGAAGGAGGTATTTTTGTACGTAAAATAGATGCCATTGTATTTTATGATACGCTGTGCATCAATTTTATTCTTCATCAAAGCAATTTCTTTTTTAAATTTTGATGTATGCAATTTGAAAATGACTAAATAAGGCTAAACTTGTGCTCACTAAGTTGTTTAACTCTGAATCACATAGTTTATATAAGTGTTAAAGAACTGTCCAATAAATATGGCAACCTTTCCTTGTTGCGCACCAATATTCAAACTTACGACTCAGGCTGACTTTGGAGGAATTTTTTCTGTTATTATTATGATTATTTAATTTTGGAGGTGGTTGATTAAATCTGCCTGTTGCCCAGACTCATGTTAACCAGATTCTTTTGTATTTATAATTTGCGGCGCTGCTGCAGTGTTTGTTTCCATAAGAAACCATAAAAGTTGTGGAAATATCATTTAATTGCTCTAATTTGCCTTGGAAATAAATAAAATATAATATGAATATCACTTCAATGCTCCAATACGACTTAGAAATAAGGAGAATACAGGTACCTGAATATATAATGTAAAACTATAAAATGATGAAAATGAAAAGTACAGTACTGTAGTAAGTAATATGTTTGTGGGAGTTTGGGTAGTTGTGTTTAGGGTATAATTATTATTATTAATATTATTATTATTATTATTATTATTATTATTATTATTATTATTATTATTATTATTATTATGTTTTCAGGAAAAGTTGGAATCAAGCATAAAAACGATAGAATCTGGTGGGACAGGCGTTGATGATCCTGGACTTGTTGATCCATTGCAACAGCTTGGCCAACTTCTTCTGAACCACAGTCAGACTGATGAAGACAGTGAGGCAGGCCTGGAGTGCCTGACTCGAGCCGTTCATATAACACAAGTTAGGTATGATAAAAATTATAAAAATTATGTATACAGTAATACAGTAATTCTTGCAATGTATAGGAACTAAAAAATAATTCAATAACAGTAATGATGATGTAGCATGCACAAGATATATCATTGCATTTCATAAAATAAAATTAAGAAGGCTTCTCAGGTACTGATTATGACCAAATGGCAATGTAAAGAATTTTAACATATTTTCTCCACTTGATGTGTAGGTACAGTAATTAAATCCTCAAGGAATAAAAGAGGTGGTTCTATGAGCAGGTGGACATCCAGGCTAAAATATCACAATCCTTTATGACCTGAAGCCCTACTGTCAAGCCTTAGAATCTAAATCCAGGGGACCCTTGACATTAGTGGCTGAACAACTACTCTAACAGTAAAATTTGTTAGTACACTACAGGAATACTTCGCTATTCGCAATCTTGCTTGATGCACAATTAATATTTTAACACCCCTAATCGATATTCACAAAGCATACCCCAATTATTCACAAAGAAATATTATGGTACCCTTCAGTAATATTTCAAACTACGTAGGCTAACTGCAGCCCTCATATTCCGCTGTAAGGCCTGCTTCACTCGAGCGTGTTTTTCTTCCACATGCGAGGAACCAAACGGTTTAGAAATTAATGAAGTTCATTGGGGCCGTTCACATGGAACACACATGCATGAAAATTCATGTGCGGGAGAGGCTCACCCCATGCCTGTACTTGTACAGTGACCCCTCGTTTAACGAACGCCTCGGTTAACGAAATTTCAGTTAACGAACTGCCTTCCATAAGGATCTTCAATTCGGTTAACGAACAAAAATTCGGTTAACGAATTTCTTACGAACCGAGCTCAACATGTTTTCGCTTGCCCTCACCGGGCAACCAGCTTTAGTATCAGTCCGCCAATACATTAATCGGTTCTAGGGCTTAAATTCCTTACTATTTTAGTAAATATCAAGAAGTTTATACTATTCAATAATTTTAAAAGTTTAATATTAACATTTTTAGCCATTTTAACAATTATTGAACATAATTGAAGGTAAAGAAACTAGTTTCTGGCGTGCCATCCAGCCTGTTAACACACCAGACAGGCGTTAGTCTCTCTCTGTTTTCAGTGGAGGTAACATCTTGCTTGAGACTCTCTTCAACTAAACGCTTTTTTTCTGTGTTTCCAAGCAAATTATTGGTCATTTTGAAATTTATTTTACATATTGACAATATATAATGCAGTGCAATGTTGATTTAAAGAAAATAATCTTGAAATACACCAAGAGAACTAAAATTTTATGGATGAAATGGTGCCATGGGGTGACTTCTCTTCCACCCCAATGCCTTTTCTTCTTCCTTCTCCTCCACCCCCATTCTAATTCCCATCATCATCCAGGTGCCTTCTACATACACACCTCAAAATAAGTGAACTTTTCTACCATTTTTGTTGAATTTAGGAAATTTTCGGTGAGCTGGAACCAATTACCCAAAAACCCATTGAAACAATGGTTTCGGTTAACAAACTTTTCGGTTAACGAACGACCTTCTGGAACGGATTGAGTTCGTTAACCGAGGGGTCACTGTACTTCCAAACCGCGGCATGAAAAAAACATGCTGAGTATTCTAGAATTCTTCATGTGGCAGTGGTAAATGCTAGTTTAAATATTTACACTCATTTACAAATGTCACACACACACACACACACACTCACTCTCATTCTCATTCACACATGCACACCCACTCACTCACTCACACACAGTGTACTTTTGTGTAGTTTTTATGGTATTGTAGCTATTTTATTGCATTATATGGCGTGTACCTATATATTAAAAAATATTTTGCTATTAAATAAGAAATATGAAGAGCATGGGTGTGCATGTGTGTGAAGTGAACACATGTGTGGACTTGGCATGTTGCAAATTATATTGTCTCTGTAGCCAGAGCCATAGATATAGAGAGTTTAGCCATTCAATACACAGGCCCCATGTTGTTACTCAGTGGAAGGAAAGTCTTCTTGGGCTGTCTCCCACATAATGATCGGATTTATAATTAATATCACATTATATGGAGAAACCCTTATTAATGAGAGGGTCCTTATAATATTGCCTAATTGATAATTATATACACCTGTACTATATACTGTAGACAAAAGTAAATCCATATTTAATCAATAAGTCATGCCTACAAAGTTTTATTAAAAAATTATTTATGTAGAATAAAGTTTAGAATAGAAAGTGAGTTATCTGAAGAGCAAAAGGGGTTTAGAAAAGGAAAAGGAACTAGAGAAGCTATATTTGGTTTGAGACTTTTGAGTGAAAGGTTCTAGAGGTCCAAAGAAATTTGTTTATATGCTTTGTTGATTTTGAAAAAGCTTTTGATAAGATAAAGCACAATTAACTTATAGAGATCTTGGAAAAATAGGCATTAATGATGGAGATATTAGAACTTTAAAGAATCTTTACTAGCAGTAGGTGGCTGCAGTGTTCGTAAATAATGGTTCACAGTTAGACAGGGAGTAAGATAGGGCTGTGTTCTATCTCCAAAATTGTATAATATATACTGTATTCAGAATTCTTAATGAGAAAAGTTATTAGTTATAATGAAGGACTGAAAGTTAATGCTAAAATAATATTAAATATACACTATGCAGATGATACTGCTTTTATCACAGATATTGAAGATGCATTACCAAAACTTGTTGACAGATTATGGGAAAAAGATAAAAAATTTGGTTTTAGAGTTAATGCTGTAAAGACAAAAGTAATGGTTGTTTCCAAATTGGAAATAAAGCTTGGCGCACAGGAAACTGTATACTCCTACGGCCTACGTGCACCGTATACAGTACTGTACCACCATTGACTAGGTTCCTGCTGAACTGTATAACTGCTTATTTTATAAACATGCTTGTCCAAATGTGAACATATATGACAGTATTACTGAATAAACATCATCATCCTCTACAGTATGAATGCAAACTTCTTCATCAGGTGAGTAAAACTTGGCGCCCGCATGTCAAAGGGCCGGTTCAGCCAATCAGGTTCGATCACCAAGTTGACCAAACTTTCTCTATCATGTACAAAGAAATGTGTTTGCCTTAGAACAATTATTTCCTTTACCTATATTGTATGTGTGTAGGTGTGTAGACACACACACACATACAGACACACAAAACACATACAAATAAATAATAATGCTTTGTTACTAAAGTTAACTTTAATAACAAGTCACAGAGTTGACTTGAGGGTAGACTCACATTTTTTCTAAATTTTCTTGTCTTGTTTCTGATTATTTGTGAGAGGATTTTCCCATTATTATTTATTTTTACAGTATGTGTTTTGTGTGTGTGTCTACACACATACACACACACACAGTAGCTAAAACAACTATCTGTGCAAGTGGGGGTCGATATGCTCCAAAATTTCACGTGTGACTAGTGACAGCCCTCATATACCAAAATTTATCGTCCATGGTCTCCTATTGTTTCCCACAAAGTATGCACAGATAGTTGTTTCAGCTACTGTACATAAATAAAATACAGGTAAAAGAAATAACTGTCTCTAGAATGAATGGCTCCCTGTCCCGGCTGCGAAAATGTCAGCAACTTTAAAACTACCCTTAGACATTCTTGGGCACATCCAGGGTGTCATCTGCAAATTGAAAATCTGTGAATTGTCAGGGCATGCTGTATAACGAATACCCCTTGTATTAGAATGTATAGGATAGATTGTTGTGGGTGAGTAAATGTGACTATAATTAACAAAGTATTTTAATCATTTTTAGAACCCTTTTACTTAAGAGAGCAGCTGGTTGAAATGTATAATGCCAGAAATAATTACAGTACCGTACTTTATTGATTTATTTATTTCAACAGCAATAGGCCAGGAAGTGTAGCTGAATGTGAGGCTCGACGACTGTTAGTAGAACATCAGCTACGTTTACGGAGAATGGACACAAAAGAAGCTTTACGGGAGCTCCATAAACTTGGCCTTCTTTATTCGCGACTGCATGGAGAGCACAGTCCAAAGACTTTAGCCATACATAGTCTTACTGTGCAGGTTAGTTATAAACTTTTGGATGAATCATCTTTACTTACTTCATGAAAGCAAGATTATTTTTTGAGAACTGATATTTGTAATTAATCTGGACTGGCATGTTTGATCTTACTGAGGTACAGTCCAGTATTGGTAAGGCAACGGTAGCCTGCAAAAGTCTTTACCTATCTTGCCAGTATTACCTGATATGAGATCAACTTTCCAGTGTAGGTTAAGAGAAAGCTAGTTTGAAGTATATTACTCTACTTGAGAGTTTGAATCTAATTTGAGCTTTAAATTTGACAATTTGTTTTTGATTGAACCCCTTTCATACTTCACCTTCTTGTCTATCCAAGCCAACCTTTAACCACCTGTAACTTGTTGCTTTACACCATGGTTGTTTTCTGATCACTTATTCTTTATTCATTCTATCTAATGTAATGTATATTTGTGTCTCACATTAACATCCATTGGCAAACCTTGGTAAGATTGTCAGACAAGATTTTCTTTCCATAAATCCAGGTTTTTATATGACTGCTTGGTCAGCTGTTGGATGACAACGTCCCTCAGAATTTTTTCAGAGGGTTTGCATATACCTCATGTAATGTTAGACTGATTGGTCTAAAGTTTTCTGTTGCACTTTTTCTACCCTTCTTGTATACTGGGGTGATGTTGGCTGATTTCCAGTCCCTTGGCACTTTTCCTTGATCCAGAGGTTTCTTAGTGGAGTGCAAATCTTGTTTGCTACCTCTTTTATCACTTTGGTCTATTCTTTTTTCCACTCCTGGAGTTTTACAGTAATATTTCACAAAAAGGAACAGTTGGTGAATAGCACTTTCAGTATTGAAAAATTTCCAGTCATTTGGGATGTCCCCCATTACAGTACTATACTGGGATTTATTCCTTATTTGTGGGTCAGGTTGAAGAAAGCTGGCCTTGCTCCCTTAATAATATTTTGGGGAGTATTTATAGGACCTCATAAACTTGATAAACACTCACAACTCAAGTACTGTACAGTACTTGAAAGGTTTATTTGGTAGAAATCCATAAAACTGAAAGAACATAATATTACTCTTAGAATATAAAATTGCTTATAAAGCATTCTTAGACAAAGAGAGCTATTTTATAACTTCAACTTTACAACTAAAACAATGAATATTCCATTTTATATATATATATGAGTACAGTAATACATTAATGCAATTACAGTATGTTGTACATTATATAAGTAGAGTTAAACAATGTATATTTTTTATCCCTTATCCCTCAATATAAAGGCCTAAACTCTCTGGGGTGTCCGAGCACAAAGTGTCTGCCCACTATAAGTGAAGGAACAGCTGGGAGAAAAGAGGTTCAAAGTTTACAAAATAAGTGACAGTTGACACCTATTGGCTTACAAGAGTGTCGAATCTTTTCTACTCGTGGGATTTAATCTCTTAAAAACACTAATACATATGAAAGGGAGAGAGCTACAGGGATGTGGCTACAGTGACAATTGATGAGTTCAACTTGGCAACAATGCCACCAGCGATGTAAACAGATGCAAATGAAAGGAAAATTACCTGTAAATCTTCATTTGTATCACCAGTCCTGTGTGATGTCACAGCATGCACACAATGCAGTAGCCACACGCATCTCTGATTTAGTTTAGTGGCTGAGGATTTTTAAAGGCGGAAGGAACTATTTTTTTTTTTTACAGTAAAACCTCGATAAATTGGACTTCAATATACTGTATCAGAATTTGCTTTCTTCAGACTCTGAGGTGCACTGGTCACCAGAAATACTAAAAAATAAAAAAATACATGTTTTAAGAAATGGGGAAGATTAATAAAAATATCTTATGAAAATAATCACACTTACTGAATATTGTACAGTGGTTCAATCAGATTTGCTATAGGCCTACTGAGAACTAAGACACTCGAGTATGTAAGCAGGTTGGGGCTGATCAGGTGTTGCTGCATTCGTCAGGTTTATTTATTGATTGATTCAGTATTATATTCTCGTACGATTGACCTCTTATGGTTTATGGTTCATCATGATTAATATAACATCTTCGGTAATAGAGAAAAAATACAATACAGGTAGTTCTGCTATAACGCGATAATTGTGTTCTTGTAAAATATCGTGTTATAGAAAATCGCGTAATAGAAATAACAGGGCTTATGGAGAAAATAGGGTTAGGTGCAGATTACTCGAAATCGAAAAAATTTAGTAGTTAGCCTAACACAAAGGATAGCACAGTCTAACTAAATGTTACATTCATATCTAACAATGAAATCATACAGTAAATGTAACACTTTACTTGATGGGGGAGAAGGGTGATTTTGAGGTTGATAAAATCGAGCTTCTCTTCAAGTGTTATATCCTTTCTTTTACGATCATCACCAGGAATTCTATCACCAGAACGCTTCTTGTTGATATTCTTCTTTACTATATTCACAGTTAATACAGTGGGGTATGCTATAACGAACGGATTCTACTACGAATATTCCTATAACGAACGGTTTTACCTATAAAATTGAGAATGCTATAACGAACGAAACTCCTACAACGAACATTATTTAATTTTTTTTTTTTTCTAATTTATTGTTTTTTTATTACAAATATTAATGATATTCTTTATTTCAGGGGTTTACATGCATCTTTATGCACTTTTTTACAATTTTTACAATTTTATATTATATTTTTCAGTATTAAGTGGTTGTATTTGGGGGCCTGGAACGGATTAATCCTATAACGAACGAATGCTATAACGAACAAGGTTCTAGAACCAATTAGATTCGTTATAGCTTACCCCACTGTACCACAAAATTGGAGAAATAGTAAGCAAAAATCGCGTAATAGCAAACAAGCGTTCGCGTTATACAAATATCGTTCCTAATTCATAAATCGCGTTAGAGCAAATTCGCGTTATCAAAACACGCGTTATAGCAGAACTCACTGTACACTACTGTATGTAATTTGTAATATGACTTAAAAATAAAAGAATAAGCTGTATCAGAAGGTAATTTACTCAAGATGCATTCGTGTGAGAGCTTTTAGCAGACCAGCTTGCAGACTTAAGTTAGGAGAATATAATTTGCATTGCTGGAATCCTTGCAAGACAGTGAATAATTTTAATATAAACATCATATATTTTGCACAAGAGATAAAAATTAATCTCCTGTATCACATTACAGTAGTAATTTAAGAGTAAAAGTGTATACGTATGTATATATACAGGCCGTATAGTGATTTAAGGGCGATTTATGGGAATTTTAGGAGTATTTCTGACTTTATGCATTTTTGGCTTTACTTTGTATGTACTTTTCTGTGAGCTGGAACCAATTACCCAATATCCCATTGAAATAATGGATTCGGTCAACGAAATTTTTGGTTAACGAAACATATATATATATATATATATATATATATATATATATATATATATATATATATATATATATATATATATATATATATATATATATATATATATATATATATATATATATATATATATATATGTATATGTATGTATATATATATATATATATATATATATATATGTATATATATATATATATGTATGTATATATATATATATATATATATATGTATATATATATATGTATGTATGTATATGTATATATATATGTATGTATATGTATATATATATATATATATATATATATATATATATATATATATATATATATATATATATATATATATATATATATATATATATATATATACACACACACACAGTATTACCCCGCTTTACGCAGTTTTTTTACGCGGTTCCACGTTTACGCGGTACCCTGCCAGACCCGGGATGCTCACTTTACGCGGTGCGTGTACTCTTTTACGCGGAGAGTGGCTGGCGGTCATCTCGCGCCGCGCCATTTTTGTATTCAAACCTCCCGCTAACTCTCCCGCCATCCCGCCATGTTGAGTAAGCGGCGCGAGTAGGTTGCGCAGTGTATGTCTTTGTTGCATTATCGGTGACGTCATATGACGTATCGGACTGTGATTGGGCCAAGCATCCTTACCTCCCTCCCCCGCTAGCTGTGATTGGTTTAATGTAATATGACGTGCCCCGCCGCGGGAGCGTTCAAGCCCGTTGACCTACCCGCGTCAGTTACACCCCTCCCGGCTACACCGTGTATATTGGTATCTATTGTAACCATAAGAATGGCTTCCACCGGACCACCACCACCACCACCACAAAGAAACCTTGCATTACCTGGACCCAGCCGCCCTAAGCCAAAGAAGATACGATGTTCCCTAAGCTACGAAATTAAATACAAGATCATCCAAGAGTTGGAGAAAAGAACAAGACAGGTTGGTCTCGCGCGCCAGCATGGTGTTAACGAATCTATGATCCGGACGATCAAGAAGGATGCAGCCAAGATAAAGGAGCACATGAACATCACAAAGTCTACAGGTGCTTCTATGATCAAGTATTGCCACAACCAGGTGCTTCTCAAGACAGAAAAATTACTTGTGAGCTACTTGATTCGTCAGGCAAGACGGAACATGGCGGTGGACACTCGCTCAGTTAAGGAGTACTCACGTGAACTGTATGCTGCAGTGTCACGTAAGATGGGAATTGCAGAGCCCAAACCCTTCAGTGCTTCCTCTGGGTGGTTGCAGAGGCTTAAGAAGAGGAACAAGATCACCAGCATTAACATTGGTGGTGAAGAAGCGAGTGCTGACCGTGTTGCGGCTAGGGATTTTCCTCCTTTTTTACGTGAGATTATGGAGGAAGGACAGTACACCAACGACCAGGTGTTTAACATGGACGAATCTGGTCTTTTTTGAAAAAAGCTACCTTCCAAGACCTTTGTTGTGAAGACTGCCAGCAAGTGTCGGGGCCGAAAGTTGCAGAAGGAGCGCATCACCTTCCTGTTTACCACCAATGCCTCCGGTACCTGTAAGCTCAAGTTATCGGTGATCCACACAGCACGCAAGTCGCCCGCCTACAAGAGCATGGACATGACCACGCTAAATGTTCACTGGCTGACCGCACGTAAGGCGTGGATATTCTCTACTCTGTCCCTCTCCTGGTTTAATGACTGTTTAGTTCCCGACGTGAAGAAATTCTGTGAGCAACAGAATGTTCCATTCAAGATTTTGTTGCTGCTTGACAACGCACCAGGACACTCGCCCCTACTGTTGGATCATCACCCCAACGTAAAGGTGGTCTTCCTTCCTCCCAACACTACGTCATTAATACAGCCCATGGACCAAGAATTAATCTGCAATGTGAAAGCTGCATTCTCTGCAAAGAAGTTTAAGCTCCTGAACGACTACACCAACACCAAGGATGAGTTGCGTAACCTGGGTGACAACGATAGCAAGAGCGAAGAGGATGAGGAACAACAGTTGGCAGAGCAAGAAGTACTTGTGAAACACTTTTGGAGAAAATTCAACGTCAAGAAAGCTGTGGACTTCTTGGTGGAGGCATGGGATCAGCTGTCTGTAGCAATGGTTCATCACGCATGGAGACATGTGTTGCAAGGTATTCCATGTGGGAGGCAGAATCAATCTGTGACTGGTGAGGTTCAGACTGTTGCAGTAGCAGTGGACCTTGCCAGAGAAGCTTTGCAGAGTGTTACAGCTAAAGGCTTCTCTTAGACCACCAACGACGACATTATGGAGGTGATAAGGGATCCTGATGTGACTGCCGACGAGATGTTAGATGATAATGACGTCAGTGAAGAGGCAGGTGGTGCATCATCCCAAGAAGAACACAAGTTATCGCATAATAATGTAAGGGGTGCCATCGAGTGTGTAGAGAAACTCAAGCTCCTCCTTTCCGACGACCCTGACGATAACCGGTATGAAGTCTTCACTACCCAGCTGTTGCAGACTATGGAGCCTTACATCAAGGTGTATCATGACAACATAAACACAAGCTGTCAGCAAAGCATAACAGAGTTCTTCGCCCGCAACCCACCACAGCCAGCCCAAGCCAGTGATAGTGAAGGAGACAGAGACAGTGATGGCGACTTTGAGGGATTTGTCAGGGAGGCACTGATAAGTGTGGATGACAGTGATGATGACTCACCTGAGGGCCAGTAGCCTGCCCTCTGCATCGGAACCAGCCTCCATTCCCGTACGCCGACCCATCTCTTCTACTAACTTAAGTGTTAAACCTAACCCTGCTTTTTCTAACCTAACCTACAGTATATTATTCTCTTATTGATTGTTCTCTTCTATATTATGTGTGTGTGCATACCATCATAAAGTTAAGATGTTATTTTTACTAAAACGTACGTATTGTGTCGGGAAAAAGTGGAGTTTGGGGGTCGGCCCGGTCTCTATTTCAATTAATCCCATATGTTATGTTGTTCATTTTATGCGTTTCTCGATTTACGCGGGCCTCCGTGGGTTCAATTGACTGTGTAAAGTGAGGGTTCTCTGTCTATATATACACACACAGTCGACCCTCGTTAATTCGGACCCCTTTAATCCGGATTTCAGATAAATCGGACAAAATCTGAACTGTCAGTATCAAATTTCTGGTTCTGGGATTGTCCCAGTTGCAATTGGGGTTGCAATTTGAAATTGTGTCACTACTAAGGAATAACGAAGTCTCTGGTGCACTGCACTCTAGATTAAGAGAAAACGGACGACTCAGGCGTCCTGAAGTGAGAGAAAACGGACTCCTCTGACGGGGCACTCTAATAAAGAGACATGGCTACATGTTTTGTGGACTACCCACTGTACAGTATTGATCTTATAATTTTCATCACTGTAATAAACCTAGTCATGCCTATGTGTGTCTGATAATTACCATAACATTATATTTTTATATATTTAGCGGTTGTACAAACACAAGGCCTGACACATGCCACTCAGACTGACAGACTTGACAAATTTTACCAACCATAAAGACAGTTGAAGCTTTAAACATCACTCACAATGGATCTTGAATATTCCAACTGTAATCAGACATACCTATGTTGCCTCAACAATTGCAACCCCAGTTGCAATATCAAATTCTGTGTCATTACTAAGGAATAACGAAGTCTCTGGTGCACTGCACTCCAAGATTAAGAGAAAACGGACGACTCAGGCATCCTGAAATGAGAATTATTAGATGTTTTAATTGCCTGTATGTTGGCCTGGCGAATTGGCTAGGAATTAACATACCTAGCTGACGTCGCATTCAGAGCTTGAACAAAAATACGTTTTTTTTTCTAAAAACCAGTTTTGGGAAAAAATTTGCTCTAAGGTGGACAACCTCTTATCCTGGACATCCCTTCCCCCCAATTTGTCTGCCTTAGTGAGGTTTTGCCGTATATACGCGCACACAAATGGTCCTTGACTAAGAACCTGCCAAATCCAGGAAACTGGTGGACCTCAGGTCCCAACCTTGCCAGATAAATGGTCCTGTACCTGTGTATGGTAGTTAATTAGTATGATTAGCTGGTTTAGCTACTAATGTTGGGGTCTCATTGAGTTTAGGCCAACAGTTCTTTGCTTGGGGGATTTTCAGTTTTTCATGTGAAGGGTGAGAAGTTTCAGGGAAAGTGGTCAATAAGTCTCTGAATCTAATTCTCTTTCACTCTTTGGGGTTCAGGGGGCACCATAGGTTGAAGGTTAGTCTTTTGGGGGCAAAGGTTAAGAAATGCTGGTCTAGACCAGAAGACAAAAGTATTCAACATTATTTGAGCTGTTGGCTATGAAATGGGATTTCTAGGATCTGTCCTCCATTTATATTTATACTGTACAGGAAAATGTAGGAACTAATGTACAGTGTTGTTGAACTAAGAGTTGTTTATAATTTGATTGATATGCATTTTGTTAGGGCTTAAAATATCAAATTAAAATATTTGTGGCATCATTTTAAAGGTTCTAGTGCAGGAGGAAGACTATGAACAGGCTATACAGCACCTCAAGACAAGACTTAAACACTGCCGGGATGCATATGGAGACTTCAGCTCTCAGGTAACAAAATGCTTTGTTTGCTTTTAACTTCTGTAAGTCATGAAATTTTATGAGATCTATCACTATTAAAAAAATTTTTGCCAGAGGCTTGATTTGTTCAGTGGTGGAAAACATTATCCATGTGCACGATGTTGTTGCATAACAGCTCTCATAGTCAAATTGGGATTCTGAACCATTAAGTCCTTGGTGAGGGGATTCAAGTCTGATGTTGAAACAGTCAGTTACCTCATACATCTTGAACTGCCTTCAGCCATATAAAGGTTCCCAAAATTCAGTCCAAAGAGCTTCTCTTAATTTTAAATACTGTACCAATTTTTTTTCTCATAACCCAAGGGAGTTGCTGATAATAGTAATATGTGTGCTGACTTTCAGTACAGGTCCCAATGATTTTCTCACCAGTAGCTAAGCTTTTCAGTATACAGTCAACCCTCACTTTACGCGGTTAATGTAACCCGGAGGGTCCCGCGGAAAGTGAGGAACTCGTAAAGTGAATAACATAACATATGGGATTAATTGAAATAGAGTCCGGGCCGACCCCCAAACTCCACTTTTTGACGACACACAACTATGTTGTAGTAAAAATTTTACCTTAACTTTATGATGGTATGAAAAAACAAGTAATATAGAAGAGGTTAGGTTAGGAAAAATAAAGGTTAACATAGGAAAAATAAAGGTTAGGTTAGGAAAACTAAAAGTTATGTGGAACACTTACGTTAGTAGAAGAGATGGGTCGGCATACGGGGATGGAGGCTGGTTCCGAGGCAGAGGGCAGATTACTGGCCCTCAGGTGAATCACCATTACTAGGTGAATCACCATCACTGTCACTTACAGTTGTCAGGGCTTCCCTGACAAATCCCTCAAAGTCATCTTCACTGTCACTATCACTGGCTTGGGCTGGCTGTGGTGGGTTGCGGGCGAAGAAATCTGTTATGCTTTGCTGATGGCTGGTGTTGATGTTGTCGTGATACACCTTGATGTACGGCTCCATAGTCTGCAACAGCTGGGTAGTGAAGATTTCATACCTGTTTGCGTCAGGGTCGTCGGAAAGGAGGAGCTTGGCTTTCTCGATACACTCGATGGCACCCCTAACATTACTATGGGATAAGTGTTGTTCTTCTTGGGATGACGCACCACCTGCCTCTTCACTGACGTCGTCATCATCATCATCTACCATCTCCTCGGTAGTCACATCAGGTTCCATTATCACCTCCAGGATGTCGTCGTTGGTGGTCTCGGAGAAGCCTGGAACTGTAACAGTCTGAGCAGCTTCTCTGGCAAGGTCCACTGCTACTTGAACAGTCTGAACCTCACCAGTCACAGATTGACTCCTCCTCTCACCTGGTATTCCATGCAACACATGTCTCCATGCGTGACGAATTGTAGCAATAGACAGCTGATCCCATGACTCCACCAAGATGTCCACAGCTTTCTTGATGTTAAATACTCTCCAGAATTGTTTGAACAGTATTTTTTGCTGTGCCAACTGTTGATCCTCATCTTCTTCGCTCTTGCTATCGGTGGTGGTGTCACTCAGGTTACGCAACTCTTCCCTGGTGTTGGTGTAGTCGTTCAGGAGTTTGAATTTTTTCGTAGAGAATGCAGCTTTTACATTACAGATTAACTCTTGGTCCATGGGCTGTAATATAGACGTAGTGTTGGGAGGAAGGAAGACCACTTTTACGTTGGGGTGACGATCTAACAGTAGGGGCGAGTGTCCTGGTGCGTTGTCCAGCAGCAACAAAATCTTGAATGGCACATTCTGTCGCTCACAGAATTTCTTTACATCGGGAACAAAACAGTCATCAAACCAGGAGAGGGACAGTGTAGAGAACAGCCACGCCTTACGTGCGGTCAGCCAGTGGACATTTAGCTTGGTCATGTCCATGGTTTTGTAGGCGTGCGGCTTGCGTGCTGTGTGGATCACCGATAACTTGAGCTTACTGGTACTGGAGGCATTGGTGGTAAACAGGACGGTGATGCGTTCCATCTGCATCTTCCGGCCCCGAATCTTGCTGGCATTCTTTACAACGAAGGACTTGGAAGGTAGCTTTTTCCAGAAAAGACCAGATTCGTCCATGTTAAACAACTGGTCTTCACTGTACTGTCCTTCCTCCATAATCTCACGTAAAAACGGAGGAAATTCCCTAGCCGCAGCACTGTCAGCACTCGCTTCTTCACCTCCAATGTTTATATTGGTGATCTTGTTCCGGATCTTAAACCTCTGTAACCACCCAGAGGAAGCATTAAAGGGTTTGGGCTCTGTAGTTCCCATCTTTCGTGCCACTGCAATGTACAGTTCACGTGCGTACTCCTTAACAGAGCGCGTGTCGACCGCCATGTTCCGTCGCGCCTGACGCACCAAGTACCTCACAAGTAATTTTTCTGTCTTGAAAAGCACCTGGTTGTGAAAATAATTGATCATAGAAGCACCTGTAGACTTTGTGATCTTCATGTGCTCCTTTATCTTGGCTGCATCCTTCTTTATTGTTCGAATCGTAGATTCATTCACACCATGCTGGCGCGCCAAATCAACCTGCCTTGTTCCTTTCTCCAACTCTTGGATGATGGTATACTTCACCTCGTAGCTTAAGGAACGTCGTGTCTTCTTTGGCTTAGTGCCGCTGGGTCCAGGTAAGGAAAGGTTTCTCTCTGGGGGTTGTGGTCCGGCGGAAGCCATTTTAGAGAACAATGGATGCACGTTTACATGGTCTGGCGTGGAGGGATGAAACTGGCGCGGCTAGGTCAAGGATCGTCTTTCCTCCCTCCCTCCCTCCCTCCCTCCCTCCCTCCCTCCCCCGGGTGGACACGTCATAATACTTTAAGCCAATTACAGCTAGCAGCAGAGGGGGGTAGGGATGCATGGCCAATCACAGTCCGATACGTCATATGACGTCAGTGATAACGCAACGAAGACACACACTGCGCAACCTTACCGCGCGGCTTGCCCAAGCGGAGGGAGGAGGAGGGAGAGGCGAGAGCACAGGCAGGCAGGCGGGTGGGGCGAATCTAAAAATAGCGTCGCGCTGGACACTCTCCGCGTAATGGGGTTCACGCACCGCGCAATGTGAGCACGTTAGGTTCTGGCAAGGCACCGCGTTAACGTGGAAACGCGGAATGTGGGACCGCGTAAAGTGAGGGTTGACTGTACAGTAGAACGTCAATATAACACGAGATAGGTTCCAAGAGTGGTCGCTTTAAACCGAATTCGCACTAAATCGAAGTGTTGTTTCAATGGAATAATTTAGTTTGGTACTTGAGAGAAATACAAAATACTAAAAACACTGAGAGTCTACCCAGATGCACCCCAGACCATCTCCTAGAATAAACAAAACATTGTTTTTTGTTGTATTATGTTAAAACAAACACTCATAAAACACAGCTAAAATTAAGGGATGTGAAATGGTCTGCTTACTGGCTGGGAAGATAGGGAGGGAGGGAAGTAAGTTGATATGTTTGACAGTTGATGCCAAGGTCTAGTGCTTATTTATTTATCTGACCTTAAGAGCGACTTTAAGTTTTCTCTTATAAAATGTCACTGAACTGACATGGGAGGATATAATTAACATTGCTGGAATTTGTATAAGAAGTGATTAATTTTAATATAAACATGCTATATCTCACATTAGACATACTGTACAAATTTTAGTTCTAATTTAAGAATTTTATTACAGAGAGCAAAAATGTTTATCTCTTGTGCAAAATATATGACTTTTATATTCAAATTATCCGTTGTCTTGCAAGAATTCCAGCAATACAAATTATATTCTCCTAACTTTAGTCTGTGACATTATAAAAGGTAAAAACTTTAATCCTAAAATACCAAACCCTGGCTGGGAAGATGGGGGGGGGGGAGGGAGGGAGGGGAGGAAAGTGACAGTGACATGTTTGACAGTTGGCGCTGAAGGTCTAGTGAAGTATTTATTTGTATATTTATGTCCTTTAGATTGAGTTTTTGTTTTTTGTTTATAAAATGTCATAGAAGTGACCTGAGAGAATATAATTTACATTGCTGGAATTCTAATAAGATAGTGATTAAATTGAATATAATCATACTATAGTTTGCACTAGACAAAAATTTTAGTAATCATTTAGTACATTATTTTGAGTACATGTACAGTGCAGCTTTGCCCTTAGGACAGTGAAGCGTGCCCAGAGAATTATTAGGTGTGCAAAATAGGAAAGATTCGCTTTGAATTAAAGCAATGTCCTTAATTGTGGGTGTCTTTCTAAATCAATAATTATTCTTAAATTGAATCGCTTTAAATCGACATTCTACTGTAGATTGAAAGTACAGTATAGTCTTCATTTACGCTTTCAATTGAACCTGCAGAGGTCCGTGTAAAACGAGAAACGCGTAAACGAAATAACAGAACATATGGGATTAATTGAAATAGAGACTGGGCGACCCCCAAACTACACTTTTTCCGACACAATACGTACGTTGTAGTAAAAATAATCTTAATTTTATGATGGTATGCACACACAATTAATAGTTAAGCGAAATATCAATAATATTAGGTTTTTTAACACTTACATTAGTAGAAAAGATGGCTGGGCACACGGGGATGGGCGGTTGGTTCCGAGGCAGAGGGCAGATTATTGGCCCTCACCTGTATCACTTGTATCAATTGTATCACTATCCACCACAGAGGCTTGCAGGTCCTCTTTGTCAAACCCCTCAATGTCCATATCCTCACTATCACTAACTTGGGTTGGATGTGGTGGGTGGCGGGAGAAGAACTTGGTAATGTTTTGTTGACTGGTGACCTTGTGCGTACCCTGCCCGTGCCGCTTCCCGCGTAAATGATGGAATGAACCGTGTAAATAAAAATTGTCGGTCTGGCAAGGTGCCGTGTTAAGTGACCAAACGCTTAAAGCAAATCCACGTAAATTGAGACTATGCTGTACTATACAGGTTTTTTTTTTTTATTTGAGAACCCTAAATGTTTACTTTATTTTTGGATGTGCTATATAGAATAAAATACCATAACAACTTTGA